CGGGTTAAGTACTTAATTCGTTCTGGAGGTCCGTTCTTAACCCGAAACTGTTCTTAACCTGAAACACCACTTTAGCTAATGGGGCCTCCTGCTGCCGCTGCGCCACCTGAGCAAGATTTCTGTTCTCATCCTGAAGCAAAGTTCTTAACCTGAAGCACTATTTCTGGGTTAGCGGAATGTGTAACCTGAAGTGTATGTAACCTGAAGCTTATGTAACCCGGGGTACCACTGTATAAGGTGCTACTGGATTATTTGCCCTTCCCTTGAATATGAATGCTGGTGAAGGCTTTCTGACCTGGAATAACAGAACTGTTGAATAACAGAGTTGAAAGGGACCCCTAGAGTCATTTAGCCCAACCCTTGCAATCCCGTTATTTGACATGCATGATTCAGGATGGCACAGCAAGTGCCACCACTTCTGTGGATGGAACCATAGTTTCTCTCTGTCCCCCCGCCCCCCCATATTTACAGCCCACCATTTCGCCCTAAGAGTTCATTGTTCCCTTCCTCCTCATTTAATCCCCACAACCCTGTGAGGTAAGTTAGGCCGACAAGGTCACCCAGTGAGCTTCATGGCCAAGTGAGAATTTGAACCCTGGTCTCCCAGGTCTTAGTCCGACACCCTAACCACTACACCACCCTGGCTCTTCCTACAAGACTTTGAAATGGATCCCTGTCCGGCTTCCCCTCCAGCCATGCCCTGAGATTGCCAGGCCCCACCCCATCGTATTGCCTATCAAAAGAGCTTTCCCTGCAACCAGTATTAACCTAGAATCCAATGCCTTTTTTATTTCCGGTGACAGCCTGCCACCTACTGGTGATTCCTCTTCTTTGCCCAAGAAAACAGAGGCGCAGACCGCTTGTTAGTACACTGGTACCTCAAACCGATCCATTCTGAAGGAAATCAGCCCTGAGTGCTCACTGGAAGGACAGATCCTGAAGCTTTGGCCTCCAATACTTTGGCCACCTCATGAGAAGAGAAGACTCCCTGGAAAAGACCCTGATGTTGGGAAAGATGGAGGGCACAAGGAGAAGGGGACGACAGAGGACCAGATGGTTGGATACTGTTCTCGAAGCTACCAGCATAAGTTTGACCAAACTGCAGGAGGCAGTGGAAGACAGGAGTGCCTGGCGTGCTCTGGTCCAGGGGGTCACGAAGAGTCGGACACGACTAAACGACTAAACAACAACAACCACCTCAGGTTAAGAACTTAATTCGTACTGGAGGTCCGTTCTTAACCTGAAACTGTTCTTAACCTGAGGTATCACTTTAGCTAATGGGGCCTTGCACTGCCGACGCCGCACGATTTCTGGTCTCATCCTGAAGTAAAGTTCTTAACCCAAGGTACTATTTCTGGGTTAGCGGAGTCTGTAACCTGAAGTGTCCGTAACCCGAGGTACCACTGTACTGTATGTTGGTCTCAACTGCAGTGAGGCCCTTTGTCCTTACCTCTCCAGCTGGAAGAGTAGTATGATGTTTATGTCTCACTCCGGTCTTAAGTTGAGAGTCCTGAGGAAGTGCGTTTAGGGGAGGAGGTGGCCTGCCCCCCCACCTTTTTAGGGATTTATAGGTCATAACTAAGGGACGCGGGTGGCGCTGTGGATTAAACCACAGCCTAGGGTGTGCCAATCAAAAGGCCGGCAGTTCGAATCCCCGCAACGGGGTGAGCTCCCGTTGCTCGGTCCCTGCTCCTGCCAACCTAGCAGTTCGAAAGCACATCAAAGTGCGAGTAGATAAATAGGTACCGCTCCAGCGGGAAGATAAACGGTGTTTCCATGTGCTGCTCTGGTTCTCCAGAAGCGGCTTAGTCCTGCTGGCCACATGACCGGGAAGCTGTACGCCGGCTCCCTCAGCCAATAAAGCGAGATGAGCGCCGCAACCCCAGAGTCGGTCACGACTGGACCTAATGGTCAGGGGTCCCTTTACCTTTACTTAGGTCATAACTAGCACCTTGAATTGTTTCAAATGCTCCCTATAACAACGGAGGTCCCAAATATCTGAAAGACCACCACCTTCCCCACAGACCATTTTGGGTGTTAAGATTGGCAGAGGTTCTTGATAGTTCTGCTGCTCTCAGGAGTTTGGAGAGACAGAGCCTAGGAGAGGGAGCTCCCTAAATTGTGCACCTACTTCCACACGCAGTTGCATTTGATTTTACTTGTGAACATGTTTTAAATTTAAGCAGGACAGCCTGGAGATTGAGTTGGCAAGATCTGAAAATGAAAGGGACAGGTTTGGATTACAGTGGTACCTTGGTTCTCGAATTTAATCCATTCTGGGAGTCCGTTCAACTCCCAAAACGGTTAGAAAACCAAGGCGTGGTTTCTGATTGGCTACAGGAGCTTCCTGCACTCAATCGGAAGCCATGGAAGCCGAATCGGATGTTCAGCTTCCAAAAAACGTTTGTAAACCAGAACACTCACTTCTGGGTTTGCGGCGTTTGGGAGCCGATTTGTTCTGGAACCAAGCCGTTTGACAACCAGGGTACTGCTTTTTGGCACTGTTTGGTTTTTACAGCGGGACCTCTACAGAGCAGGGTTGCTTGAATGATTCGCCATAACTTGTACTCTGTAATCACCAGAGTAGATAAGCTGCCCAAATACTACTTGCTGAAAGGGTCCACTTACCCTGCTTTGCCTGAAACTTCTGTAGGCCATGGACCTCTCTGTGCGGCGATTGCAAAAGTCAAAATAAGATAACGGCCTGCCGAAATTGAGGTGTGAATCTGTCAGGAATCTGTATCGAGGGTGTATTCCATTTATGTGAAAGCCAAGGAGGCACTTGGTTTGTCTGCAGAACAAACCTCTCACAAATGTTCAGGTAGGTAGCCGTGTTGGTCTGACGCAGTAGAAACATATATATATATATATAAAAATGTCCAGTAGCACCTTACAAGACCAACTAAGTTTGTTCTTGGTATGAGATTCTGTGTGCATGCACACTTCTTCAGATACACTGAAGCAGAAGTCACCAGACCTTTTTGAAAAGGTTCAATTTCCCCTCCAATTTTTTTTATTGGTTTTCACAATATAATAAACAAACAAATACACACACAAGACAAACAAACATAAATCATAGCCTTATTGAAAATTACAGTTATTAACTTTGTTAAGCAACTTCCTCGCTTCCCCTTGGTTGAATTTCATTGCATGTCCTTTTAACGGTTTTCCAAATCCCAATTTGTATGAAATTTAACTTAAACATTAACATCCTTAAATCTTCACCTTCTAGAATTAAACATATTAATTCATCACTTAACATAAATAAAGTCCTAAGCCCATTAAGTACAGTGGTGCCCCGCAAGACGAATGCCTCGCAAGACGAAAAACTCGCTGAAAGGGTTTTGCGATTTTTGAGCTGCTTCGCAAGACGAATTTCCCTATGGGCTTGCTTCGCAAGACGAAAACGTCTTGCGTTTTTTGCAAGTTTGTTTCCTTTTCCTTAACACCATTAATACAGTTGCGACTTGACTTCGAGGAGCAACTCATAGAACGCGGTGTGGTAGCCTTTTTTGAGGTTTTTGGTATTTTTGAAGCTTTTCCAAAACTTTTCCGACACCGTGCTTCGCAAGACGAAAAATTCGCTAGACGAAAAAACTCGCGGAACGAATTAATTTCGTCTTGCGAGGCACCACTGTATCTGCAAGCTATTTCCAGTTAGTTTAACTTAACAAATTTAACTAAATAATCATTAAATTTATTTCATTCTTCGATATTCCTCCTCCTTCTGGTCGCGGACTCTTCCGGTTAGGTTGGCTAGCTCCGAAAAATCTATCATCTTCATCTGCCATTCTTCTATTGTTGGTAATTTTTGAAAAGGTTTAAACCTAAAGTTCTAAACCTTTTAGACCTAAAAGGTCCAAACCTTTTTGAAACCTTTTAGGTCTGGTTAGTGACTTCTGTTTATATATATATATATTTCTCTCACAAATATGTACAACTTAGGTTTACTTCACAGTAGTGGGTCCAATTTAATGAGCTCTGGGACAATGGAGTGTGCCTTCTGGGGTGAAGCCAAACCACTGGAGATTACAGCGCGGACTGTGGCTGCAGAGAACTACTACCCAGTGGCGTAGCGTGGGTTGTCAGCACCCGGGGCAAGGCAAGTAATTTGCGCCCCCTTACCCGTGGATTTGCGCCCCCTAACCCATGGATTTGCGCCCCCTAACCCTAACCCCCAGATGTTGCGCCCAGTGCGGCCGGCCCCCCCTGCACCCCCCACGCTACGCCACTGCTACTACCTTGTGTGTTGTTTTTGCTTCATTAGCAGCGCGGAAGTGACTTCTCCAGGGCACTGTGTATGGAGGTCTGGACTGCTCAGACCACAAGATTTCCTTCTTGGCCTGAGGTGTTCCAAAGGAAAGCAGACATGGGCGGAGCCAGGATTTATTTTAGGAGGGCAGGCTTGGGGGGTGCACAACTGAGTTATCTGTGATGCAATTGGTCAGTTAAGAATTTCTACTTATTTATTTGATTTGGGGTGGGGGGCAGCTGACCCGCTGGCTACGCCCATGAAAGCAGAACAATACCGTTTGGCACCAGCCGGGCTGCAGGCGTTGCAGTCACTTCCCTCTGCTGCACGTGTCCCTCATGAGCTGATGAACATGCTCAGAAGCACCCTTGTGCCGCAACCCCATGATTGCTAGTGCCAAAATTCCCAGCTCCCAGCACCCCGTTTGGCTGCGTGGCCACAGGTTGTCTCCAACACTGCTTGCGCGTAATTGCGCGCAATTGCTTCCACGTGCGTTCCTGGAACCAACCGCCCGCATCCAAACGATCCGGGTGCGGGGAAAAGTTGCTTGCCGGCTGGAAAGGGCGCGGCTTTCGGATCGGACTCCTTTGTTCCTTTGGCGTGGTGGCATCAGGTAAGGCGACGCCGGGCACGCGCAAAAAAGAACCCTTGTCTGCGCTCCTCCCCGCGGCGCGTCCCGGGGCGGAGTCAGTCAGTCCAGGCCGGGCAGGGAGTAGCTCCTTCCCCGCTCGGCGCCTGCTCAGGGCCCGCCCGAGTCTCCGCCCCGGGGTGGGGCGGAGCAGCCTAGCCCCGCCGCGCCGGCTGGATCGCGCAGCCTGCGGCGAAGCACCATGAGCAAGACCCACCGCATAGTCCTCCAGGGGCCGGCGCCCTGGGGTTTCCGCCTGGTGGGGGGCAAAGACTTCGAGCAGCCGCTCACCATCTCCAGGGTAAGCAGGGAGCCCCGAAACTTCCGGGAGAAACCTGGATTGGGATTGGAGCGGGAGGAAGAGAGCGCCTCTGAACATGTGCAGAACGCCCTGCGTCGCCAACTGCAACTCCCGCGCCTCGAGCCGGATCCTTTGGGTCCCCATCCCCTCGCTTTTTAGGGAAGGACGTTCCAGTTCTGAGACGGGCTTGAATCTGAGCTCTTCTGAATCTTCAGCAGGGGTCTCTCGGGTTGGGGGACCCAAGGAGAGAAATCCGGGATCGGGGCCAGGATCCGCCGGCCAAGGGGCGCTGGGAAGCCGGCCGGCAGCAGCCCTTCCCCGGCCCTTTTTCCTTGGCAGCTGGTGCTCAGAGGCGCGCGGTGGTGCCCGTGAGTCTGGAGGTGTCGATTAGCTACCCGTTGATAAAATCGCGAGGAATGCTCCCAGCTCCCTGGAATTTCCTGGGATTTTGTCTAATCCCCTTTCAAATCCATTGCAGATATCGGGCTGATGATCCGAGGCGTGTTAGCACTTGGAAGGGTGAAAGCAAATGCCAAAAGTAAAAGCTAGGAGGTGATGGGCTTTGCGTCCACATGGGTGGTTAAAAAAAACCCAACATCCTGTATTTTCCCAAATTTTTGCAGCCTGCATGTTACAGATCACAATGGTATTTGAAATAAACTGACAGTTTTCTGCCCTTAAATGGGGACTGAACTTTTTGTTGTTGCGGTGGCTGCTTCCTTCAGCTTCGATGGAGTGCTGTTTCTACTTGCCTGATAGATTGCCAAAGTTGGAGGAAGGAGGAAAGCTCTGAGAGGTGCCGCACCTACTTGAGACCTGGGGAGTGGCTGCTGCTGCAGTAACAGCTGCTTGGTTGTGCCCAGGTGGGGGCTAATCTCTGTCCCCCCCCCAAAGGTATCAACTAGCACTGTTGACAAAGTATTTGTCATTGTCTGAATATTCCTGCCTTCACATTTTCGTTAGGGTAATGACCAGGAATCGTACCGAATGCACTCGCTGTAAATACTTCATCCATCCTTCTAGTAGGAAAAATGTATATTTCTGACTGTTCTTAGCACCCCCTCTGCCAACTTTATTGACTGATAATAAAAGCAATTAGCTTTTTCAAAAACTCCAATCCCTTGGTACTCACAGATTTAGGGTGGCCTAAGCTAATGAATTCTAGCATTTAATTTTTTGCATGACAGTCATACACCAGGAAGACCCACTGGAATTGGTGGATTTAAGTTACTTAATTCCATTGATTTCATTATTCTGCTCTGAGTATGATGTAACACTGGATATCACCATCTGAAAATGATTTATTTTTTTTGGGGGGGGGGAATTACAGTTAAAAGACACGTCCTGTGACACCTTAAAGAAACTTACAATGATGTACTGTGCCAGAAGTGTCCATGGAGTGACTTGCAAAAGCTTATGCTGCAGCGAATCTCCTAATTTTCTCTGGTTTCTCCCCAGCCCACATTGAATGTAGTTGTCTCATAATGCCTTCAACTGAGCAATGCTTTTGGCGCTGTGGGTTAAACCACAGAGCCTAGGACTTGCCGATCAGAAGGTTGGTGGTTCGAATCCCCGTAACAGGGTGAGCTCCCGTTGCTCGGTCCCAGCTCCTGCCAACCTAACAGTTTGAAAGCACATCAAAGTGCAAGTAGATAAATAGGTACCACTCCGGCGGGAAGGTAAACGGCGTTTCCGTGCGCTGCTCTGGTTCACCAGAAGCGGCTTAGTCATGCTGGCCACATGATAAACACTGGCTCCCTTGGCCTATAGTGCGAGATGAGCGCCGCAACCCCAGAGTCGGTCATGACTGGACCTAATGGTCAGGGGTCCCTTTACCTTTTTAACCCAAGGAGATACTTCAGACAGGGGCGTCTTATCCATAGGGGTGCAGGGCGCCAAGGCCTGGAGGGCGCCAGGGAAGAGGCGGAGGCTGGATGCGGCGCCTCCTGGCATCAGCTCGCTGCCCTTGCCCGCCTCCACCATGCCACGCCGAAGCAGCGCCGCACTCAGAGCCACAGCGGCACAAAGCGTCCAGTCTCTGCCTCTTGCCCGCCAAAGGAGCCGCCCTCCAGCTGCTGGCCACCTCCTCCAGCCCCGCTGACAGCGCTGCCCTCCCTAAAAAACTGGGAAATGGCAGGGGGAGCACCGGAGGGAGCTTTGCACCACGGCGCCAGATATCCTTAAGACAGCTCTGACACCAGACATCGGGAAGCTTATTCTCAGAAAACGGTGCCTGCTTTTAGGAATATATCACCATGATTCCAAGTGAGCAGCAGTGCTGTGAGATCTTCCAGCAGTTTAAAAGCAGGGTTATTTAAGACTCAGGAAGGGTGAATAGGAGCTCACCTTTCTCTTTCCCAGCCTCAAATAGCCAGAGGCGAAAAGGTTAGTTTCTGCTGCTGGAATTCCAGGCTGCTAGTAGGTTATGGAGCTCTGGGTACGATGTTCAAATAAGGCTATGGGCTCCTGATTCAGATCTCATTCTCCGGAGCAGCCCAGCTCTCTGTCAAAGTCCTTTCAGCAAAACAGGGGTTTTGATTACGGAAAACAAATCCATATTTTTTTGTTAAGCGCCTAACCACATACTTTCCAAAATGGGATCTGCCGTGGAGTAATTTGAAGGCTCCCTCTAGCAGATTGGTTTCGAAACCATTTTTTCTTAGCAAAGGGAACAATGAAAAAAGGGTGAACATTTGCTTAGGGAGTTGCTTTTTGTGTGTGTGACACAGTCTACCAATTTCTCTCTGCTAAGATAGAACCCTTATGCTGTTTTTGTGTCTGCTCCCCAGAAATCTACAGGGTTTGTTTTTGTTTTTTAATTGAGAACCCGCACAAACAAGGCTTCTTGTGTTCTGCGTATATTTTCATAAAATAGGTGGACTATTTTGGTGGGTCGCCACACAAAACCTTCCAAATGGGTAGCTGAATGAGTACACAGGTTTTGCCTGGTAAATCTTGGTGCATAGTCCAATTCAGTTGTACCTTGGGCTCGGTTCCTTGTCCGAAGAATGGGAATAGGGAGCTGCTATTCTTCCTAGGTGAAAAAAAATAAAATAACATTGTGGCACAGGAAGGGATGGGGAACCTCCAGCCCATGGGCCAAACTTGGCCTGTGAAGCCATTTTTTGGAAGCCACAACCACCCTTATACCTGACATCATACCTGACATCAGGTGTGTGGCAGGTAAGGGCAGGGCTTCAAAGGAGTGATCAGGAGCTTAAAGTAAGCTGACATTTGTTTCTTTGCTGGGCTCAAAATGCACACCTTTCTCCTGCTCATGTAGGGCAGCCCCCTTGCTACATCAATTGAGGCTCTAATAATAATAACAATTTATTATTTATACCCCACCCATCTGGCTGGGTTTCCCCAGCCACTCTGGGCAGCTCCCATCAGAATATTAAAAACACGATGAAACATCAAACATTAAAAACTTCCCTAAACAGAGCTGCCTTCAGATGTCTTCTCAAAGTCAGATAGTTGTTTATTTCCTTGACATCTGATGGGAGGGCATTCCACAGGGCGGGCGCCACCACCAAGAAGGCCCTCTGCCTGGTTCCCTGCAACCTCACTTCTTGTAGGGAGAGAACCGCCAAAAGGCCCTTGGAGCTGGACCTCAGTACCCGGGCTGAGCAATGGGGGTGGAGACGCTCCTTCACTGCCTTCCTCCATTGCTTCCTGTTCCCCTTTCCTTTTCCTAAATCAAAAATATAATAAAAGCCTTATATGGAAGAAAGGGAAAGGAGTCGCAGGTGGTTCAGAATTCCACTGGACACAGAAGAGGTTCCGTAGGGCATCTTAGGCTCAAGTGATGCACAGAGTATTACTTCTTGATAGCTTAAAGCCCTGTGAGCCTGGCAAGGAATTATGGGTGAGAGAACCTCCCTCTTCCTCAAACCCATGTCTCTGAATTGAGTTAACGGAACAGCAAGGAATATTTATTTAAAAGAATATCCATTTTGCCCAAGAATAAATATGAATGCCGTCCGTACAAAAGTAAGAGACGCAAGAGCGACAGAGATGCTGAGCTACTTCCTCTAAAATTAACACTGCCCAATGTTTCTTCAGTCGTCATCTTTGGCGATCACTCGTAACCGAGTAAGATTGTCTTCCATAAACATGGTCTTAACAGTGAGTCCATAAGTGATTGTGGAGGCCAATTCTGGATCCACGCGTCCTTCTACAGTGGGGACATAGGTTTCTGGGTGGGAGTTGATCATACTGAGGTTTACACGTTTAGCACGTTTCTCCCTATCGTCCTGAGTTTGAGCATCTTCAAAACCCATGACACCTTTGGTCAAGGCTGTTCTCCAACTGGAGCTCTCACAGGCCATTGTTTCCCAGTTGTCAGTGTTTATACCATATTTTTTTAGACTTGCCTCGAGACAGTCTTTAAACCTCTTTTGTTGATCACCAGCATCACATTTTCCATTTTTAAGTTCAAAATAGAGTACAGTGGTACCTCGGGTTAAGAACTTAATTCGTTCTGGAGGTCTGTTCCTAACCTGAAACTGTTCTTAACCTGAAGCACCACTTTAGCTAATGGGGCCTCCTGCTGCTGCCGCGCCGCTGGAGCACAATTTCTGTTCTCATCCTGAAGCAAAGTTCTTAACCCGAGGTAATATTTCTGGGATAGCAGAGTCTGTAACCTGAAGCGTATGTAACCTGAAGCATATGTAACCCGAGGTACCACTGTAGTTGCTTTGGAAGACGATAATCAGGCATCCGCATGACATGACCAGTCCAACAAAGTTGATGTTGAAGAATCGTTGCAAGCAGCTGTGTAATAAGAGGCACGATTGGTGAAACTCGTGTATTTGTATAACTGTAGGTTGGGAAGTGACCCAAAAGCCCATGTGTTTCAACCCCCCTGCCCCCAGGGGCATAGGAAGGGGGGCGGTGAAGGTGGACCTCCCCAAGTGCCCTCACTGAGGGGGTGACATTTGGCTTGCCACCCACCTGTGACTCCCAAGCCTACCTCGAGCCATCGGGTCGAGGCTAAGGGCCATCGGAGCCTGCCAGTAGGCGTCAAGCCGCTGGGGGCTGCAAGGGGACTCGGCCGCACCTGGGCAGCAAACACTGGCGGACAGCGCTCGCACTCAGGCAGCTCTCTGCCCCTACCTGGAATCTTCTTCGAGTAGCTAAGATCCATCGTGTGTCTATGGGGCAGCAAACTACCTTGCCTTGCCCCGGGTGCTGACAACCCACGCTACGCCACTGGGAGCTGCGCCTCTTTGCCAGCGACATTCTTCCCTTCCCCTTTGACAGCTGGGGGAGGCTTGGGAGTCACGGGCGGGCAAATATCTGCCATGGGCGGCTCGCTCCGCTCCCGTGAGTGGCTCTCTCCGTCCCAGGCTGCAGGGTGTGTGCGCCGCTCCAGGCACCTAAGAGGCTATCCTGCAGCTGGCAGGGCACCCTCTGCGCCATGCCCCCCTCGGGAGCACAGGCATATGTTTTGCCGCTGCCTGCCCCACCTTCCTCAGAAGGACTGCCCCACTCATGGATGGTTTTTTAAGCCACCCTGATTTTGTTATCACTTGAATGTGTAATTTTTATTGTTTCCGAGCACAATTCAAAGTGTTGGTGCTGACCTTTAAAGCCCTAAATGGCCTCTGTCCAGTACAGTGGTACCTCGGGTTAAGTACTTAATTTGTTCCGGTGGTCCGTACTTAACCTGAAACTGTTCTTAACCTGAAGCACCACTTTAGCTAATGGGGCTTCCTGCTGCCGCCGCGCTGCCAGAGCCCGATTTCCGTTCTCATCCTGAAGCAAAGTTCTTAACCTGAAGCACTATTTCAAGGTTAGCGGAGTCTGTAACCTGAAGCGTACGTAACCCAAGGTACCATTGTATATCTGAAGGAGCGTCTCCACCCCCATCGTTCTACCCCGACACTGAGGTCCAGCGTCGAGGGCCTTCTGGCGGTTCCCTCACTGCGAGAAGCCAAGTTACAGGGAACCAGGCAGAGGGCCTTCTCGGTAGTGGCGCCCGCCCTGTGGAACACCCTCCCACCAGATGTCAAAGAGAACAACAACTACCAGACTTTGGAAGACATCTGAAGGCAGCCCTGTTTAGGGAAGCTTTTAATGTTTGATGCATTACTGTATTTTAATATTTTTTTGGAAGCCACCCGGAGTGGCTGGGGAAGCCCGGCCAGATGGTCAGGGTATAAATAATAAATTATTATTATTTCAGCCCAGCTAATTCCAGATCATAGGGAGTTGTTTCTTTCTAGGCATTTAAATCAGGCACAGGCAAACTCGGCCCTCCAGATGTTTTGAGACTACAGTTCTCATCATCCTTGACCTGTTAGCTAGGGATGATGGGAGTTGTAGTCCCAAAACACCTGGAGGCCAAGTCTGGGGGTGCCTGATTTAAATGGATACAGTATGCAAACCAATAATGGCTATTTTTGACCTCTGGCAAACCCTGAAGATGGTAACTGGCTCTATAGAGCAAGTTAGCTGCTTCTATAGCAAATACCCCAAGAGCTCTTTGCCCAGGGTGTTCTCCTGTGTGCTGGGATGGCAGGACACTTTTATTTCATTTATTTATTGTTCAGGAGAAAAAAGCCATGCTTGCAGACAGCTCTACTACAGCATTTTAAAAGAGCTGGAGGTTAGAATCAGGAAAGCTATTTTCACATGGAGAGTTACTGGAACGGTTTCCAGCCTGCCAAAGGAAACAGTGGGTGCGGCTTGTTAAATAATGGGGAGATGATTTAGTCAAATACTATTCCAGCTTCTGGCACTGACTGCTATTATTGTTTAATTTAGATGTAAAAACAAAATAGTCCTGCCACCTTATCTTGTGCTTGTTATAGTTCAGTATACAATACTTGGGGGATAAGACCAGTTTTCACTCTCATTATTCTGTATGCTGGTGCTAACAGTCCTTTTAACCTCATTATAAGGGATTTTTGAAGGTATCGTTCATCTGAATTTTAAACTACAGTCATACCTTGGTTCTCAAACAGAATGTGTTCCGGGAGTCCGTCCAACTCCTGGAAGTGTTCCAAAACCAAGGTGTGGCTTCCAATTGGCTGCAGGAGCATCCTGCAGCCAACCAGAAGCCAGGCTGGACATTTAGCTTCCGAAAATCGTTCAAAAACTGGAACACTCACTTCCAGGTTTCGATCGTTTGGGAGCAGATTTATTCAGGAGCCCAAGGCATTTGAGATCTAAGGCACGACTGTACAGTGGTACCTCAGGTTAAGTACTTAATTCGTTCCGGAGGTCCGTTCTTAACCTGAAACTGTTCTTAACCTGAAGCTCCACTTTAGCTAATGGGGCCTCCTGCTGCCGCCGCGCCGCTGGAGCACGATTTCTGTTCTCATCCTGAAGCAAAGTTCTTAACCTGAAGCACTATTTCTGGGTTAGCGGAGTCTGTAACCTGAAGCGTATGTAACCTGCGGTACGACTGTATTTATTATGGTATGCTTGTTTTGGGGAAATCAGTGACCAGTCTAGCTGCCGCGTTCTGGATTAGTTGTAGTTTCCGGGTCACCTTCAAAGGTAGCCCCACGTAGAGCGCATTGCAGTAGTCCAAGCCTAAGATAACCAGAGCATGCACCACTCTGGTGAGACAGTCCGCAGGCAGATAGGGTCTCAGCCTAGGTACCAGATGGGGCTGGTAAACAGCTGCCCTGGACACAGATTTGACCTGTGCCTCCATGGACAGCTGTGAGTCCAAAATGACTCCCAGGCTGCGCACCTGGTCCTTCAGGGGCACAGTTACCGCCTTCAGGACCAGGGAATCCTCCACACCTGCCCGCCTCCTGTCCCCCCAAAACAGTACTTCTGTCTTGTCAGGATTCAACCTCAATCTGTTAGCCGCCATCCATTCTCCGACCGACAATCCTCCAATCTCATCTCCACTAGTTCAGGAATCTTTCAGTTGCACATGGAGTCAACAAGAGAAAATGATGGCCAGGCAATTAAAGAAGGGATCAGATGTTATTTTGGTAAAAGGGGGAGGTGAATTAATTCCACTTCTGGTGGGTCATCTCTGTGGAACACTGCATTGGGGTAATAAGGGATCTGCAAAGAACCATTCAAAGCCAGCATCTGAGGATAACAGTCTATGCCATCCAATCACAGTGCTTTGCAGGGTGAATAAAAATAAATGGTTTTTTAAAAAGTTTTTTTTTAAAAAAATGGATTTTTTTTTATTTAAACCAGATTTTTAAAATAAGATGCTTTTGGAGGAAATATCTTTCTAAAGATAATTTTCTATTTAAGTTACATTATAGTCCAAAGGCTATTCATCAGGAAATAAGGATTTGTTTTAAGTTTTTCATGTGTGCTAAAACTCAGGCTAAGTTAAAAAAACAAAAACACAAAAGTTTAACTACATCAGTTAACAAACATGGATACATATGCTATAATGTTATTGCTTTAGTTAAATAAATTGTTCAAATTGTTATTAAGGAAATGATTATTTTCTCCTTCCAATAAAGTACAGCAGAAAAGTTATCCAAATATAAACAGTTCACTTGTTAAACATCACAATAATTTCATAATTATCGGTCTATGTACTATTTCTAATAGTATAACCAAATCAGTAATTTTTGGTAGAACTGTGAAAACTACTCTGAAAATTTATTATTCAAAAAATGAAACCTTCCACTGGTTGTAAATATTAAGATTATACCAGCAAGAATAAGTCTTTCTGTAAAAAAGATTTAAATCAAGTCTTACTGACTAATGATTTAAATCAATATGATTTAAATCAAATCACCCTACTCCCCATAAAGCACATCTCATCTTCACCAGTTCAGGAACCTTTCAAGTGCACATGGAGTCAACTAGAGAAAACGTTGGCCAGACAATTAAAGAAGTGATCAGGTGTTATTTCGGTAAAAGAAGAAGGTGAATTAATTCTAGTGGGTCATCTCTATGGAACACTGCTTTGGGGTAATGGATCTGCATCTGAGGATGACAGTTTATGCCACCCAATGACGTTGCTTTGAATGAAATAATGAGCATCTTGTCAGTGATAACAATAAATCTGTATCTCATGTTGGAAACTGGAGTGTGGCAAAGTTTTATGGCTCCTAGAACCCCTCTGGGACGCGGGTGGCGCTGTGGGTTAAACCACAGAGCCTAGGACTTGCAGATCAGAAGGTCGGCGGTTCAAATCCCTGCGACGGAGTGAGCTCCCGTTGCTCAGTCCTTGCTCCTGCCAACCTAGCAGTTTGAAAGCACCTTAAAGTTCAAGTAGATAAATAGGTACCGCTCCGGCGAGAAGGTAAGCGGTGTTTCCGTGCGCTGCTCTGGTTCGCCAGAAGCGGCTTAGTCATGCTGGCCACATGACCCAGAAGCTGTTCACCGGCTCCCTCGGCCAAAAAAGCGAGATGAGCGCCGCAACCCCAGAGTTGGTCACGACTGGACCTAATGGTCAGGAGTCCCTTTACCTTTACTTTTAGAACCCCTCTGGTTTCAGCAGACACAGCTCAGAAACGTGAACCCCCTTCACACTACATTTAAATACTACTTTTCTTTTTAAGTTTCTACCCTCGTGAAAAGTACTGAAGGCCAAGATGGCCAGAATTCACAGGAGCCAGAAACACTCAACATTTCTGTGCCATGTTTTGTGTTCTAAATGTTTGGATCTCTTTTGTTAGGAATGGCAAACTGGTATGCAATAGTTCAGAGATGGCTCATTGCGAATGAATGTGCTTTTCTTAACCGCGGACTCCCACTCATTCTATCATTCCATTGTGAAAGCCAAAGCTAGGGGAAACTAAAAAGCGAGCTGGTTGATTGATGGGTTTTCGTTTTTCCTTTAGTCCAGTTTTATGTTGCTGTTTGTTTTCCCCCACTGGTGAGTGTTTGTTAATATGCACAAAGTCACCGTTTTTGTAGAATGGTGTGTGAAACAAGACAGTATCTCATTGATCCTTTACAATAACCCCATAAGGTAGGCCAGTAAAATTAGCACTGTACTACAGAGGCCTAAGAGTGATTCATTTACAGTTTTTATGTTTGTGCCTTTCAATAAAATATTCAAAGGCATTCTGCTACTTTCTTTGTAGCCAACTCCCGGTTCCTCTTGTGAAACAAGCCAGGACCAGTATACAAAGAACAGCCTGGGGCCTTGAGTTTTGCTTTGGTGACAATTTCTGTTTATCTTTTTTCTTCTTCTTCTTGCAGGTAACCCCTGGCAGCAAAGCTGCAGCTGCCAATTTATGCATTGGAGATGTTATCATGTCCATTGATGGGGAAGATACAGAAAGCATGACTCACCTAGAAGCACAGAACAAAATCAAAGGCTGCATAGACGAAATAATTCTGACCGTGGGCAGGTAAAGTAGCATTTGGATTGGAGGAATGAAATCTGCCTGGCTCAAGTATCCAATGAGCACATATCACAGCTATGGTTGGTTTACTGTAGGAGGAAAAATATGAATCCCTGTGACCCAGGGCTAAACTCACTCTCCAGCAGGAAAGAGCTCCCAGTAGCAGAGTTTAAACTCACAAAGGTGTTAGGAATGTAAGTTGTTAGACCCTTTTATCCCATTTAGTTGTATACAGCACTCCTCTCTTTCTGCCCCTCTTGCAATGAACAAAGCACACCCTGTTAAGTAAGTTTAAAATGCTTTACTTACAAAACATTCCAAAGGTCAGATTCATGCATTTATCCAAGCAGCGGCAAGGAGAGCACAGGTAGAAAATACAGCAAGATAGCTTCAAACACATGCTCTAAGCTTGGAGTTTGCTTAGGCATGTCTTCCTTTGGTCAGTTACATGGCGTGGAGAGAGTGAGAACAGGAAGAGAAGACTTCACTTCATCTCTCATCAGAGAAGAGAGATCATGGCCAAGCTGAGTCTAGGAAACTAGCTCTTTTGCTTTAACCCTTTCATGCACTAACTAGCACTCGCACATAGTTCTGTTTGACTGCAGTTTCCCACATTTACGAGCTTCAGCTATTCCCTGACAATGATAGCCTGGAAACAATAATTCATGCTTAGATTATCTCCTGTTGGATTACTGTGATGTGCTCTACGTAGGGCTGTTTTTGAGGATGACGCAACATTGCAGTGCATGTGGAATGAAGCTGTTTGGCTGGACAGCCAGTTGCAGCCACATTTTACTGGTTCTTAAATAATTTTACTGGCTGCCAGTACATTTCTGGTCTGAATGCAAGGGTTCGCTGATGACTTACAAAGCCCTGGAAGACTCAAATACCTAAATACTTTCCCTGTATAGGCCTCCCAATCTGCTAAGGAAACCCTTTTAAGCACCCCACTACTTGCTACACAATGCTGTGACATGTGAGAGGGCCTTTTCATTGGTGGCACTCTGGCTATGAAATTTGAAACCCTCTGAAATTTGGCTAATGCCTACTCTGGTCTCCTGTTGGAATGGGATGTTTTATTATGGTTTCAGGATGTGCTGATAGGAGGCGTTCCATCTGCCTGCCTATTTTATTGCTATGCCTCATATTCTAATAGAGATTTCATTATTCCCTGCCACAGATTCTTTGCATAGAGGGTGATCTAGAAAGCTTTGAACAAATAAAGTATATGGCAAGGTGCACATTTCCCCAGCTCTGCTCCTGCTTCCTGCACAACATAGGAAGGTCTGAAAGGGGTCTGTAATCATGTTTGGCTGAATGTGCTTATACAGTGGCACCTCGGGTTAAGTACTTAATTATTTCCGGAGGTCCGTTCTTAATCTGAAACTGTTCTTAACCTGAAGCACCACTTTAGCTAATAGGGCCTCCTGCTGCTGCCGTGCCACCAGAGCACGATTTCTGTTCTCGTCCTGAAGCAAAGTTCTTAACCTGAGGTACTATTTCTAGGTTAGCGGAGTCTGTAACCTGAAGCGTATGTAACCTGAAGCGTATGTAACCCAAGGTACCACTGCAAAACTCTTTCGGAATTTCTTGTTCGATGCAAGAAGGCTGGGGTTGGTGGGGAGGGAGAGAGTTCATTTCCTCACACCCTTAAAGGTAAAGATAAAGGACCCCTGGATGGTTAAGTCCAGTCAAAGGCGACTATGGGGTTGGGGCGCTCATCTCGCTTTCAGGCTGAGGGAGCCGGCATTTGTCCACAGACAGCTTTCCGGGTCATGTGGCCAGCATGACTAAACTGCTTCTGGCGCAACAGAACACTGTGATGTAAGCCAGAGCGCACAGAAATGCTGTTTATCTTGCCGTTGCAGTGGTACCTATTTATCTACTTGCACTGGTGTGCTTTCGAACTGCTAGGCTGGCAGGAGCTGGGAAAGAGCAATGGGAGCTCATTCCGTCACAGGGATTCAAACTGCCGACCTTCTGATCGGCAAGCCCAAGAGGCTCAGTGGTTTAGACCACAGTGCCACTCATGCCATGCACTGCATGAACTACACACTTAGGGCCTGGCTGGGCACAGAGGGCGAATAAAACCCGCCAGCGGAGAGCCGGCGTGGTGTAGTGGTTAAGAGTGGTGGACTTGTAATCTGGTGAACCGGGTTCATTTCCCCACTCCTCCATATGCAGCTGCTGGGTAACCTTGGGCTGGTCACACTTCTCTGAAGTCTCTCAGCCCCACTCACCTCACAGTGTGTTTGTTGTGGGGGAGGAAGGGAAAGGAGATTGTTAGCTGCTTTGAGACTCCTTAAGGGGAGTGAAAGGCGGGATATCAAGTCCAAACTCCTCCTCCTCCTCCGCCATGCCAGCCAAACCCTTGCTGCCGCTGCCACCGGGCAGGTGTGGGGCACAGAAGGGTCACAGGGCCCAGCCAGCCAACGCGAGCCTTGGCGGCCATTCAGCGGCAAGGCCGGGGCCTGGAGGTCCCCAGCGTCAGGGAGGGCAGGGATCCCAAATCATCCGGCCCCCCAGCCCTCCCCATCTTATGCCCCTGGTGTGGGCTGAAATTTGTAATGGACTTTTGTGGTTGCGGCAAAAGCAGCAAGTGTCTGCTGTATCTTCTCATGTCAGGGCTAGGAGTTTCTCAGCAGTTCCTTCTCTCCAGGGGGGAGAGCACTTCCGGTTGGTTCATCATGGACTCTCCTCTTCCTTCCTTCCTTCCAAAGCCCCTCTCCTCTTCTCCGGCTTCTGTGCCAGCTCCTGCCTGCTTTTTGGCTATCTATTCCTTTCCTGGTAGGAGATTTATGTGAAGGTTTCATATTCTGCCAGATCAGCTCATAAGAGTTGGGTTCATGGTCCAAGAACGTCTTTCTCCCTCCCCTCCTCTCCTTTTTTTTCTTTGGAATGGAGATGAGCAATTATTGTGCAAGATTATGCAACTCTTGAGCTAATATATAACCACGAGTAATCAGAAAAACTATTGTGGGATGGGAGGAACTGCAGATACTTTTTTTTGCGCGAACTCTTTTAATGTCGTTGTAAATAGTTGCACAATGCTTCTCTTGTTCCTGTCTTCCCTCCCAAAGCTTTGGAACAAACACCGTGAATTTCTGTGTTAAAGTTACTTTTACTGTTGCAGAATCACTTCCAAGAAGTGGAGCTGGCAGCATATCCTCTTCATTCAATCGCCAGCGGCACAGAAAAGCCGAATTTAAGTCACAAAACTTGTCCAAGAAGTGAAGCAACCACCCAGACAGCTCTTGAGAGAGAAGTATTTTAATCAGGGACCAAAATGTGCTACAGTAACAAAAGCCTGTGACTAAGGGTCTATTGGATTAGCTCAAAGAGGGAAAGCAAAACAAGGAACTCGACTCAAAAAATTGAGGGAAGTGGATGTACTCCAGGAATGCCACAAATTCGCTTGACTCACTCCAGCCCTGTCATTTTCCTGAGAATTCCCTCGACCCTGAGAAACGTCTGTGTCGTTCAACCTAGTCTGGCACGCTGTGTATGCATGTCTGTCTATATATGGACATTAAAACAGACAGGCTGCTTCTTGAAGGTTTAATTATTATTGATGGCTATTGGCAAAGTGTGTTTGCACTGGAATGTTGTGTATGGGATATTTCAGAGAGCTGGCTTCTTCAGAAGAACGGATGCTAAACTTTAGAGAGTGCCTTTCCCACAAAATCCAGCCTTTCTCAACCTTGGGTCTCCAGGTGTTGCTAGACTACAACTCCCATCATCCCTGACGGCTAGCCCTTCTCACTAGGGATGATGGGGGTTGTAGTGCAGCAACATCTAGGGAACCCAAGGCTGAGAAAGCTTGCCCAGCGATCAAAGCCTTGACATGCTCTCCCCTTCTAAAAACGGTCCATTTTAGAGCCAGTTACCTGTCGAGTCTCTAGTCGGCCTCACTGAGATTTGCTTTTACTGAGCAGCGTTTTCAAGCTATGCCGTCCGCCGTCCTGGACGGGTGAGACAACAGGGTGCCGTATAAAGGCAGACTCTGTATATGTGGGTTCCCTTAACTGCTCAGCTGAGGTAAGGAAATCTAGCAGACGCCACTAGCAGAGGGACTCAGGAGTGGTGGTGGTTTCACCAGTGATATACCTCTGTGTGAAGCCGACATCATGGTCTGCTCCTCCTCCTAATAATCATAATCATAATCATTTGTACCCCACCCATCTGACTGCGTTGTCCCAGCCACTGGGTGGCTTCCAATAAATAAAAAAGCATAATGTGGAAGTATAGCAGCAAAGGTCATTTAGTTAGTAACCTAAAGGTTAATTTTATTGTCAGACAGCCAACCAAGAGGATGGTGGTGATTGAAGTGTTGCCTAGCAACCAGTCAGAGGGGCATGATCCTTCTCAGGTAACACATGCTTTGATTGGCTATGTAGCTGCCAGGAGTTTTCCTCTGTATGTTTAGTTGAATGTCTCCTTGCTATAGACAAGGCCTGCCCTAAAAAAGGGAAAACCTCTCTTGTTTGCTTCTCCTCAAATTATACACCATATTTCGTTCAATTTCCGCATTGTAGTGTTAACCAGACTTTTCTCTCAGAACTCCATCTGCATACTGGTCCTGGGCGATATATTGATATATCGCCCAGACCTATACATTGGACCCAAGGGGAGATTTCTCACCCTACCGCCCATACAGGAAAGATGCCTCTCCCCGGCAGAGTAGCTCCTATGACTTCTTAGCAATGTAAGCATTCCAGTGACTTGCAGAGTTGCCCTTTTTGCTCTGGCGGCCAAAAAGGTGAGAAAGAAGCCCCTGGTCAATATAGCATTGAACTGAGAGACGCACAGATCTAGGGACTATGATTTGTGGCGCGGCAATCAACAACCTAAGATATGCAGATGACACAACATTGATGGCAGAAAGTGAGGAGGAATTAAAGAATCTTTTAATGAGGGTGAAAGAGGAGAGCGCAAAATATGGTTTGAAGCTCAACATCAAAAAAACGAAGATCATGGCCACTGGTCCCATCATCTCCTGGCAAACAGAAGGGGAAGAAATGGAGGCAGTGAGAGATTTTACTTTCTTGGGCTCCATGATCACCGCAGATGGTGACAGCAGCCATGAAATTAAAAGACGCCTGCTTCTTGGGAGGAAAGCAATGACAAACCTAGACAGCTTCTTAAAAAGCAGAGACATCACCTTGCCAACAAAGGTCCGTATAGTAAAAGCTATGGTTTTCCCAGTAGTGATGTATGGAAGTGAGAGCAGGACCATAAAGAAGGTTGATCACCGAAGAATTGATGCTTTTGAATTCTGGTGCTGGAGGAGACTCTTGAGAGTCCCATGGGCTGCAAGAAGATCAAACCTATCCATTCTTAAGGAAATCAGCCCTGAGTGCTCACTGGAAGGACAGATCCTGAAGCTGAGGCTCCAATATTTTGGCCACCTCCTGAGAAAAGAAGACTCCCTGGAAAAGACCCTGATGTTGGGAAAGATGGAGAGCACAAGGAGAAGGGGACGACAGAGAATGAGATGGTTGGACAGTGTTGTCGAAGCTACCAGCATGAGTTTGACCAAACTGCGGGAGGCAGTGGAAGACAGGAGTGCCTGGCGTGGTCTGGTCCATGGGGTCACGAAGAGTCGGTCACGACTAAATGACGAAACAACAAAAATCTCTTTACGTGTATTTATTTTTGATTCAGATTTGTCATGGCCAATGGCTAGTACAATAAAGTTATTGGGATTGAGAAAACCTGCCCGAACTTGACAGGAGAAAGCAGGGAGAAATACCTTGAGGCAGTCAAGCAACATTTCCCGTTCTGTCGTGGAGCATGTCCAAAAACCAGTTGAAACGCAGCCCCTATCTTTCCCAAATCAACATTCACAATGTGGACCAAAAGCATCACCCAGCTCACTGACAGGCTGAAACCAGCATGTTACTTTGGAACCTTGTATTGCATCAGTGGTGGTGAGGATAGTTGGTGCCATGGCCCTGGGCGCAAAATGCTGAGGGGGCGCAACCGTGCAGGTTCCAGCTTCTACAGGGAGCCCTGCCCCACCGAAGGTGGCAGAGCGACCCGTTGGGGGGGCTGCCACCCTGGTGGTAAAAAGTTAAAAGACCTCTGAACGGTTAAATCCAGTCAAAGGCGGCGATGGGGTTGTGGCGCTCATCTCGGTTTCAGGCCGAGGGAGCCGGCGTTTGTCCACCGACAGCTTTCCGGGTCATGTGGCCAGCATGACTAAACCGCTTCTGGCGCAACGGGACACCGTGACGTAAGCCAGAGCGCACGGAAACACTGCTTATCTTCCCATTGCAGTGGTACCTATTTATCTACTTGCACTGGCATGCTTTCGAACTGCAAGGTTGGCAGGAGCTGGGACAGAGCAATGGGGACTCACCCCGTTGCGGGGATTCGAACCGCCAACCAAGAGGCTCAGTGGTTTAGACCACAGCGCCACCCTGGTGGACCCCCTCTCCAGCTCCCATCCTTCCCTGCCTGCCTGACGTCTTATCTGCACTGCTTTAACTCGGAACCCCCAAATCTTGGGTCCCCTCCTCCCCAAACTCCTTCCGTGGTAACTGTATTAAAAGAGGGCAGCCTACTCTCTTGTCATAGAGGACTTTTTGTTTTGAGCAAGCGAAGCATTTTGCCCCAGCTGCTCGCAGGGGACAAAGGGAGCTTATCCTTGTAGTCGTAAGAGTGCAAACATCAGACATTTTGCTTCCTTGTTTGGATAACTTCTAGTACAGATGGAAAGCGGAGCCAAGGGCGATGTTGTCCTTTCCATTTTTATCCCCTGAGCAAGTCTGCATGGATGCCAGCCTCTGTAAAAAAAACAACCAACACAACCCATCAACTCTGCATCTGTTATTGTGTTCCTTAAATATAAAGGCTGACTTGATTCGAATGCCACAGGCTTTCTCATTCAGAGAAAAATAGCTGTGTAACCACCAAGGAAGCCGGATGTGTCTCTTTATTAGGTTGACCAAATGCAAAGGATGACCGTGAACTTAAGCAACTGTGTGGAAGAGGGAATTTTGGCTAGTGAGCGCTGCATCAGCTGAAATTCCCTCTTCTCATAGTGAATTAGAAATATGACACACCTGTTGTTCCTTGCTTTATCTGATATTCTAAGTTAGTTGCACCACACCTGGCTCTTAGAATTGGTCTAGCCTCTTAGTTCTTCAGATTAAGAAATTGCTGAGACTCCAAGCCTCCGCGTCTAATTTTCAAGAGCCAATTATTTTTTTGGAACCGTCACCAGGAAGAAATAAAGAACAGCAAACTTGATCTTCTCAGGTGGGCAAAAAGGTCACAATAATTTTGTCTCGGCAGGTTATAGTTTTGATGGCAAACTTGCAGGATTCTTGGTCAGGTTCAAATTTATACAGCAATTAGCTGAAGCTGGAATACTTTCCCCTCTTCAAACTTTGACTTTCAGTGCTGCTGAAAGCATCTCCCAAAATCTTTTCCTTCTGTGCAGCCATCATGAGAAGTAGGAAAATTACTTTATGAGATAAAGTAGAGGTTCTCGAGGGATTTATTGTTATTATTTACTCGAAACATGTCTGACACCAGTGACCCTGCCGAGAAAACAGATTTTTAATGTGGGGTGGTTAGAGCTATTGCTCTAGACTGTCTGCTAAAACATTCCTCTGGCATTTAAGTTTGTTCGCATGCCAGCCACCTGACTTTCGCAAGGATTGGGTGCTCACGAACGCCAGCGAAGTAACTGGGAACTGCAGCTGTTTTGTTCTTTTTTTTGAAAGGCAGCTGTTTTATATTTTAGGGAGCTAAGTTTAGCTTGCAAATTTGGAATGCTGGTCTTTAAATGGAAGGTGAGAGCTCGCTTCATTCCTCGCTCATTCCATCGCCGTGATCGAGAGCCTGGGAATCTCCCGCTCAGTGGAATGCCCCGCTTTGTAATGTTTGTGCACGCCAAAAATGTTTTCGTTTGCCGTGAGTTGGGGCAAGTGACCCAGCTCCCCGAAAAGACATTGGTGGGCTGGCGCTGATGCAACTTCTCAGCCTCTAAATCATCTTGCTCATTTAATAATAATAATAATAATATTTATACCCCGCCCATCTGGCTGAGTTTCCCCAGCCACTCTGGGTGGCTCCCAATCAAATGTTAAAAACAGTACAGCATTAAATATTAAAAATTTCCCTGAACAGGGCTGCCTTCAGATGTCTTTTAAAGATGGGATAGCTGCTTATTTCCTTCACATCTGAAGGGAGGGTATTCCACAGGGTGGGCGCCACTACCGAGAAGGCCCTCTGTCTGGTTCCCTGTAACCTCACTTCTCGCAATGAGGGAACCGCCGCAAGGTCCTCGGCGCTGGATCTCAGTGTCCGGGCTGAACGATGGGGGTGGAGACGCTCCTTCAGGTATACTAGACCGAGGCCTGTATACCTCTTCTCCCCTTCCTTCCCTGGTCAGGGTTAACCAGGGCACAGCATGGAGAAAGGGGTCAATATCTCTGACTTGCATGAATTTCAGCCTCAAAGGAAGCTCTGCAGTTGAGATTATGCCCCTCGGCGTTTATGTGGCATGTGCTCTTATTCCGTAGGAGGTCAAAAGAACATTTCTAATTACTGATAATAGGGTTGCAAAGCTCATTGTGGTCGGCAGGCCGCTCCCTTTTTAAAAATAAATTTCTGACAAGTCCAGGCGAGAACTATTTATGTTTTCCCGAATAAGGGAATGCGTAGCATGCCACTTTGTGCATTCTTCTTGCCAGAAACTGCTCCAAAGTATCTTAACTGAAGTGGTTCATTCCTGCATTGCAGGGGGTTGGAATAGATGACCCATAGGGTCCCGTCCAACTCCACAATTTTATAATTCTTTGGTTTATGTCTCTGTGAATTTAAAGTTGCAGTGGAGGGATTAATGTCCCTTAAGGAAGGAATTCTGCCGTTAACAGTGGATAAGATTAGTCAGTGTGGTGTAGTGGCCACAGTGGTCCGTGCGACGGTCACCTCCAGGCTTGATTATTGTAACTCACTCTACGCGGGGCTGCCCTTGAAGCTGACCCAGAAACTCCAGCGGGTGCAGAATGCCGCGGCGAGGCTCCTTACGGGGTCCTTGCCGCGGGATCACATTCATCCAGTGCTTTACCAGCTGCACTGGTTCCTGGTGGAGTACAGGGTCAGGTTTAAGGTGCTGGTTTTGACCTTTAAAGCCCACCGCGGCCTAGGACCCACGTACCTATGGGACCGCCTTTCCTGGTATGCCCCACAGAGGACCTTAAGGTCCACAAATGACAACACCTTGGAGGTCCCAAGTCGCAAGGTGGTTAGATTGGTCTCAACTAGGGCCAGGGCCTTTTCAGTACTGGCCCTGACTTGGTGGAATGCTCTGTCACCAGAGACTGGGGCCCTGCGGGACTTGACATCTTTCCGCAGGGCCTGCAAGACAGAGCTGTTCCGCCTGGCCTTTGGTTTGGACTCAGTCTGACCTTTATGTTTCCCTCCCCTTATGGTTTTGATCTATGGGCTACTATTAAAATGAGGCTGCATTTTAAATTGTATTTTAACCTGTATTTTAAATTGGTTTTTAAAAATATATATATATTGTAATTTTACTGGTGTTAGCCACCCTGAGCCCAGCTCTGGCCGGGGAGGGCAGGATATAAATAAAAAATTATTATTATTATTATTATTATTATTATTATTATTATTGGTTAGAGAGCTTCACTAGGACCTCCAGAGACCAGGGTTTGGATCTCTGCTCAGCCATGAAGCTCACTGGGCAACCTTGGGGCAGTCGCTGCCCTCAGCCAAACCCACCTCATAGGGTTGTAGTGGGGATTAAATGAGGAGGAGGAGGACTACCGTATGTACACCAGAGGTTTTCAACCTTTTTGTGTCCATGGCTCCCTTGACTAACTACAGTGGTACCTCAGGTTACACATGCTTCAGGTTACATGACGCTTCAGGTTACAGAGTCCGCTAACCCAGAAATATTACCTCAGATTAAGAACTTTGCTTCAGGATGAGAACAGAAATCGCACAGCGGCGGTAGCAGGAGGCTCCATTAGCTAAAGTGGTACCTCAGGTTAAGAACAGTTTCAGGTTAAGAACGGACCTCTGGAATGAATTAAGTTCTTAACCCAAGGTACCACTGTACATTCTTTCTGTGGCACCCCTGTGGGGCTCAGGAGCCCAGTTATGCTACCCCTTTCCTGCAGAGCGGGCAGCCCCTCACCCCTTTTCGAATGCCCTCCCTTGTGGAGGGCTCCCTCAGCCTCCTCTCCCCCAGCCTCCTCTCCCCTCTCCTTGGGGTCCTCTGGGCAGCTGCAGCTGCCACCCCCCCTGCCCCAAAGAGAGCTGCCTCCTCACACTGCCCCTCAAGGGCCTGGGAAGCACCCCCTGTCCAGCCCCAGAGGCACCATTCGCCTGGGGAGCTCATAGCTGGGGCTGCTGCAACAAACAGCTGTGCAAGCCTTTGGGAGGCAGAGACGCAAGAGGGCATCTGAGGAGGGAAGGGAAGGGAAGAGAAGAGGGACAGAGGCCAGTGTTGCCCACGGCACCCCTGACCATCATTCAAGGCACCCAAGGGTGCCAGGGCAAACTGGTTATAAACCACTGACGTATACCACTTGGAGCTCCGTGGAGGAAAGATGGGATGGAAACGTAATAAACAAACAAGCAAAAAGGCCCTCTTCAGAGTTATTTGTAGAGAAACAAAAAACATATTTGCATACAGTGGTACCTTGGGTTACATACGCTTCAGGTTACAGACTCCGCTAACCCAGAAATAGTACCTCGGGTTAAGAACTTTGCTTCAGGATGAGAACAGAAATTGTGCTCCGGCGGCGTGGCAGCAGCAGGAGGTCCCATTAGCTAAAGTGGTGCTTCAGGTGTTTCAGGTTAAGAACAGACCTCCGGAACGAATTAAGTACTTAACCCGAGGTACCACTGTACTTGGATCTGCGATGGAATGAGCAATATTGGAAAGATTCACATCCATGATGCTCAAATGGACCAGTGACTGCCTCTTCCCTTAATTTACCTTGCAAGGTTGTTATTAAAGGAATAATGCACACAGCCCACAGTTCCTTGAGGAAACCTGGCATATAAATAAATAGATTGCACAAAACTGCTGGTGCAAGTCTTGCTAAGTTAAATTTCCCATTCTTAAAGTGAGCCTTGGAGATGGTGGACTAAAGCGCTTCAATAGGAATCTTATTTCTGGAGACTTCAACATTTCCCAGACACACGGAATGTCTGCTGTGACTTTGCCTAAGTACAGCATGCTGTGCCTACTCCTGAAAAAAGTTCGGAAGGAAAAGAAACACCTCCAAAACCCTGGATTTGAGGGAATTCCAAATTTATTTATTTTTTATAATTTATTTTATTAATTTTAACATATAAATTATAAAATGTACCACAAAACTTATCACTTATACAATCTTTTTGGACTTCCATCAGCACCTCTGATGATCCACCGTTTTAACCACTTCTTACGCATTTCTTAACTTTATATTGCCTTTACATCTCTTAATAAATCATCCTCCCCCTTGTCCATTTTTACAATACTTCTAATAATACTCCTCACAAAACTTCTTGCAACCCTACAAATGTCATCTCTTCTTCACAATTACTTTTCAAATAGTCCGTGAATTTACTCCAGTCTTCCGTGAATTTCTGGTCTCGCTGGTTTCGAATCCTTCCTGTTAGTTTATCTAGTTCTGCATAGTCCATTAACTTCATCCTCCATTCTTCAATCAACAGTAACTCTTCTTGCTTCCATTTTTGGGCCAATAATATTCTTGCTGCTGTGGGGGAATTCCAAATTATGGAATTGTGTGGAGCACGATAGATGTCTTGAAACTACAAAATACTGTAACAAATGTGGAGAATTCTAGTGTTAACCACCAGACGCTCTACTTTGCAGAACTGAATCAAAAATATGGTCGCCGCTGGTTACCGAGGAAGGGAAAACCAATCCATACAAGATGAACCTGGCATCCCAGCCACAGGTGAGAAACATGAAGGAGGCTCTGTTTCTTTTCCGCCAGACTGTGCCCGCTGCAGGTATGGATTGAACCGTGTTGATGCAGCATAAATGACACGCTCATAGCTGCTGCTTGTGTTTTATTCTAAAGGCACAGGCGTACTGTGTGTCACATGTCTGGCATAACACATGCATGCCCAGTATAGGCTGAGGAGAAAAGTCAGTTGTGGAGGGTGGAGGAAAGAGTATCGTGAATCCATATACAGTCGTACATTAAATCTCAAACAGCTTGGCTCCCCCAAAATATTGGCTCCCGAACAATCAAAACCCGGAAGTGAGTGTTCCAATTTTTGAACGATTTTTGGAAGCCGAATGTCCATCGCGGCTTCCGATTGGCTGCAGGAGCTTCCGGCAGCCAATCAGAAGCCGTGCTTTGGTCTCTGAACGTTTTGGAAGTCGAGCGTATTTCTGGAACGGATTCCGTTCGACTTCCAAGGTACGGCTGTAGATGTTTTTTGATTCAGCCATCAAGAATTGCCTTTGGGTGGGAATGCCTTTAATGTATGGGGAAATCCCGTATCAGAAGTGGTGTTTTTGGCAATTTCAGGGGGGGAGAAAAAGCTATAAAACCTCATTTTTTGTGATTTGCACAACAGCATTGCCCCCCTTCCCTCCCAAGAAAGCTCAACAACTTTGCCTTAAAAAGCTCAATAACATTTCTGTCCAGGTTTTCACTCTATGAAATATGGAAAGCGTAGTCAAAACAGTAGGCCCTTACAGATGGGGCCACACTCCGTAATTTAGCCTCTAGAAAAGTGGTTGGCGGGACATACAGCACTAGGAAGTAATCCATCACACAATACATAATTAAGTTGAGGTTTCTTTCCACTAGATTTTATCGATGACCAGTAGTATAATATATCGGGCAGCAGGAGATTGTGGGGAGGATGAAGTTCTGCATCTGAGCAGTGCAGAATTGTGGAATTTAGATTCACGTGAGAATACATGATTGCCTGTGAATTTGGGTGTTTGGGTGGCTTCTCTCAATGTCAGCCACAACTACTTCCTTTTGGCCTCATCCGCTACTGGCATGCAGTAATTGGAACAAAGCCCTTGGGTTCACAAAGGTTCTCTAGCCCAACCCCCTGGGCTGCAATCGGAGAAGGGGGTGGGAGCCAGTGTGGTGTAGTGGTTAAGAGCGGTAGTCTCGTAATCTGGGGAACTGGGTTCGCGTCTCCGCTCCTCCACATGCAGCTGCTGGGTGACCTTGGGCTAGTCACTCTTCCTTGAAGTCTCTCAGCCCCACTCACCTCACAGAGTGTTTGTTGTTGGGGAGGAAGGGAAAGGAGAATGTTAGCCGCTTTGAGACTCCTTAAAGGGAGTGAAAGGCGGGATATCAAATCCAAAGTCTTCTTCTCTTCTTATTCTGGGATGCCTGCACCCAGGGCACGACCTCTGCAACACCCCCACCAGGAACTCGTAGGCACGAAGCTGTCTTCTGCACATAAGCGCGACACCCGCCTCGAACAGCCACACCATTCTTAAGTAGTAGTAGTAATAATAATAATAATTTATTATTTATGCCCCGCTCATCTGGCTGGGTTTCCCCAGCCACTCTGGGCAGCTTCCAACAAAATATTAAAACACAATAGTGATCGAAAATGGAAGACAATATTTCATGATTCATTTCATAATAATTGCTTACCAAGTTTCATTTACCAGTTATGTGAATACATTTTTCGTTAATCTGTGATGATTTGCCTGTACCAAAGGGCTGCGGTGCAAACTCAAACACATGTGAGAAAGCTAAAAGAATCTAACGTCATTTAGTAATTGCAATTGTTTCAGCAGCAATATGAAAGGCCAAGTATATTTAGTTAAGAGTCAGACTGAATTTCTAAACACAGCAAAATTTTAAGAAAAGATGTACAAATAATTATTTAATGTATTATGCTTTGAACGCACTTTGAACTTAAGTACAAAGTTAAGTGCAGAGTTTTCTGGTCAGATTGAAGCTGGCCTGAGGGTGGTGGAAAAACACATTGAACTGCAGGATTTGCGTGGACAGGCGGAGTCCCCAGATCCCGAGCGGTCCCCCCCCCCATCATGTGGAATAACGACTCAAGACAACGTGCTATGGGATTAAATTGGCCACAACTTTATTAAATTTCAAATGTGGGTAGACCTTGGCTCAGGCATTGGGCGTTATCCCTCCCCAGTCTCCAGCCGGGGACCTAGGGAGCTTCAGGGTTGTCCAGTGGGGGGGGATGGGCCGGCTCTGGAGAACATATGTTCAAGCAGAGATAGCCGCCCCCGTTACACCGCCGCCGCAGGGGAGAGCAATGACGACCTTTCGGCGTACGGTCAAAGCCTCCCTTCAGAAACCCCTTTAACGGGGAACCCTGGTATCGCTGCCGCAAAGAGGAAGATGGACTAAAGGATTCCGCCCAAGGCCTGATACTGCCAAAGTTGTGACGTTTTGCTACGGGAAAGGCGAAACCTGCCAATGCAGGGGAATTCCTTTCCGGCCCTTTAACAGCGACCTTATCGTAGCAGTGCCCGCATACCTGTGAAGAAAAGTTAACCTGCAAAACCTATGAAGAAAAGTCAACCTGCAAAGGAAGACATTAACTGAGGGTGGGTAGGGTGGGAGAAGCTCTGGAGCCAAGTGAGGATTCCCAGGTAAGATCCTGCCTCTATTGTGTGGGCAGGTAATCCCTCCCCCTACCTGGCCTGGTCTCCTTGGCAACGCTTCCCCCAGGTGGGATTGGGCAACTGACTGAGGTATGCGGGGACCTCCAGGTATCCCACCTGAGGGAAGGCAAAGCCAAGCCTATGCTGATGGGGCTGCTCCAGATCCAGGGCTGCGCGCGTCCACGCAAAGGGCGCCCCCCGTTTTAAGCGGGGAGCGGTCATTGTCAACGAAACTGCGAGATTGTTGTGGGTGGCGGCTAATGCTGTGTGAATGCGCCTTCAATGCGCTGGATGGTGGAGTAAGTGGTCGTGTGTGTTAAGTTGTGGGCGAACATATCAGACGACACAGCGATTCTTCAAACAGCTCTTGTTTATTCAGAGGCCAGAACAGAACTGAACTGAAGGGTTCAGTCAGCCTGCTTATATAGAGCTCCAGTACAACGTAACTGTAACAATTTTCTAAAACTATCAATCACTGAATGTCACTTTCGATCCCTTATTTGCACAACTATCTACACTATTCCCCTGCTGGCCCAGGGTGAGAACTTCAGTACATAACAGCGTGAACATACCGTATTTTTTGCTCTATAAGACTCACTTTTTCCCTCCTAAAAAGTAAGGGGAAATGTGTGTGCGTCTTATGGAGCAAATGCAGGCTGCACAGCTATCCCAGAAGCCAGAACAGCAAGAGAGATCGCTGCTTTCGCTGCGCAGCGATCCCTCTTGTTGTTCTGGCTTCTGAGATTCAGAATATTTTTTTTCTTGTTTTCCTCCTCCAAAAACAAGGCGCGCCTTATGGTCTGGTGCGTCTTATAGAGCGAAAAATACGGTACCCCTTTTTGTATGTGTGTGCCCTGCATCTTAATGAAAGGAAATCCAGAAAAGAGAATTGAGCTGCTTGCCCCAGGGTAAATCGGCGAGTCCCTTTCCATACGTCTGCCCCGCCCCAGAGCCATACATTCCTTTGCCAGACTGATGTCATGGCTGCGTTAAAACAGGCCACCGATTGTCCTGAGGCTTTTTCCTTTCAAGCGCTCCCTGTCACATCCTCTGGGGATGAGGTCATTGCAGCTGTTTTGTTTAGCTATTCCCATAGAAACCGGGGAATGGAAGGCTGTAGAAACTGGGTGTGTGCTTTGACATTTGATAAGACCGCAGTAGACCTCGTGCCAAGACCTCTGAGTCAAGAGGTGAACAGCATAGCAGTTTCCTGTCTGAAATGCCCGGTGTCCTCATCTGGCTTCATATTCGTCATTGTTCCCGAATCGTTTTGTCTTTTGCATTGTTGTAAACACTTGGTAAACACAGAAAGGGAAGCTGGAAATCTAATCAGGCAGGTCTTCCCTCCCCATCCAAGAAGAAGTTGGGTTTAACCTTTCCCTTTTTCACTCAGATTTCAGAGCATTTAAAATTTCCCAACCAGATGCCATTTGGAAGACAAAATTAAGACACTGCCGTGGCCTCCTTTAATTTTCCTCTTTTTTTTCAATCTCTTATCTCTGCATCTCCTTTTTTAAAAAAAATGAGCTGCGAATATTTGGGACTATGAGGCGGTTGGACCAATTGCTACAGGTGTTGGGAAAACCAGATTTGTGCTTGGGTACAGCAACAGATAGGGACGTGGGTGGCGTTGTGGGTTAAACCACTGAGCCTAGGACTTGCCGATCAGAAGGTCGGTGGTTCGAATCCCGGCGACGGGGTGAGCTCCTGTTGCTCTGTCCCTGCTCCTGCCAACCTAGCAGTTTGAAAGCACGTCAAAGTGCAAGTAGATAAATAGGTACCGCTCCAGCGGGAAAGTAAGCGGCGTTTCTGTGTGCTGCTCTGGTTCGACAGAAGCAGCTTAGTCCTGCTGGCCACATGACCTGGAAGCTGTACGCCGGCTCCCTCGGCCAGTAAAGCGAGATGAGCGCCGCAACCCCAGAGTCAGCCACGACTGGACCTAATGGTCAGGGGTCCCTTTACCTTTACAACAACAGATTCATGCAGATCATATCGATTTGCTCATAATTCATTTCAGTGCTCAGCGCAGCTTCTAAATCTTTGAAGCATTTCATTCCATTTTGTTGAAATCCTCACAGCAACTCTGCAGGGTTGGAGAACGTGGTTGTCCCGTATCGCAGAGGAGGGAGTGGAGGTTTGAGGTTAAGAAAATGCAGCTCGTCAGAGATCTTTTAGTGAGCTTCAAGTCAGATGCAAGATTTCAAATCGGGGCCTTGCTGATTTCTCGCTCCCTCATTCTGTTGCTAACTGTACCGTTTAATTTAATTTTCACTTCACTTTTAACTTGTATAACAAAACGCCTTTTGCCTTTTTTTTAAAAAAAAAAATGAGGTCACAGCTTTGCAATATTGAATGAGAGTATAATATTAAATCATTCCGAAAGCAATATTTGCGTTGGGTAGTTTGTTCAGCGGAATAGCATCGTATCTGGATCTTGATTGAGGTATTTGACTTTTTTTTTTTAAATGGTAGATAATTAGCAAGAGTTTTCAAGCAACGTGAGGGAAATTGCACAATTAGAACTCTTTGCCCACGCATCCTGTTCTGCTCTGCATGTGAACATAATTGAGCAAAGCCCAACCAAGTGCGAGGCAAGCGTTTTTTGTGGAAGGCCAACAATAATTTGGTGCTGGTGTAGTGATCGGGGCTGAAGATGCCATGGGGCAGCAGTGGGGCTGGCTAGGGAATCCAACAGTCCCTGGGCAGACTCAGCCTCTCCCCACTGCCAGAATGACCCATCTCAGAGTTTTTGGCTATCTGTCAGCTGCACGAAACCCACTGGCAGAGGCTGACAGGGATGTGGGGGATTCCTTTGCCCGATCTAAACCTCCCTCGACTGCCCCTTAGCCCAGGGCAAAGGGGACTTGGACCCCTCTACCATCTTCTAAAGATGATTCATCAACAGGAGTTTCCACACGAGACCTTTGCGTTTCCTGCATGACTACCTAGCCCAGGGTTTCCCAAACTTGGGTCTCCTGCTGTTTTTGGACTATAACTCTCATCATCCCTGACCACTGGTCCTGCTAGGTAGGGATGATTGTAGTCCAAAAACAGCTGGAGACCCAAGTTTGGGAAACCCAGTCTTTGGCAAGGAAGGAGGTCCTTGAGATGTTTATCTCCGCAGCTTCCATCCAAGTGAAGGTACATGAGGCCTTCAGGCATCTGCTTCCCATGAATGACTTGACTGCCGAACTGGGAAATAAATTCCGCTAGAGCTGGAGGAAGCCAACAGGTTGCTCTTTCGTGTGGGAGCTTTCTGGATGCTGAAGGTGGGCCTGCCGAAGGCACCCAGCACTGTGGCCCACATTTACCCGTGTCTGAAGTTGGCTAAAGGTAAAGGGACCCCTGACCATTAGGCCCAGTCATGGCCGACTCTGGGGTTGTGGTGCTCATCTCGCATTATTGGCCGAGAGAGCCGGCGTACAGCTTCCAGGTCATGTGGCCAGCATGACTAAGCCGCTTCTGGCAAACCAGAGCAGCACACGGAAACGCCGTTTACCTTCCCGCCGGAGCAGTACCTATTTATCTACTTGCACTTTGACATGCTTTTGAACTGCTAGGTTGGCAGGAGCAGGGACCGAGCAACGGGCGCTCACCCCGTCGCAGGGATTCGAACCGCCGACCTTCTGATCGGCAAGTCCTAGGCTCTGTGGTTTAACCTGCAGCTTGGTTTAAGGATCCATTCAGTTCCTAGCTTATATATCTTGAGTTTCTAACACTGCCAGCACTACTCTGCGGCCTTCTCAAGCCTTTTTTTGCCGGGCAGAGACATGTCCTTGGTCTTTGACAATGCCTCTTGCTTCCCAAAATGAAGGATGGTGAGGTCAGTGAGTGACTGTAGACTCCTACAAAATTAAGAGCCACATCGTCGGATCTGCCAAATGTCCTCACCCTCTGTTCAAATGTAGCCCCTGGAAGCTCTGGTCGAGAAAGATTCTCCCCTCCAGACTTACATGGTTGCCCTCCTTCTTGTAGAAGAATTTTACAGCCATCTTGCCCCAAATCTAGACGTTCCGTTCTGGCAACTGCAACCTTGGTTTAAGGCAGCTAATGTCCATCCCGTCCCCAAATATGTTCCGCCCCCCCTTTGCAGACCGACCTTGTTTTTTGCCAATTCCTTGCACAGCCGACGGACTGCTGCTTATCACCCGCACGCCAGGCGCATCTGATTGTTCCCTCTGCTCCCTTGCATGCAGGATATAAGGCACATAGGAAGTGCACATAACCGAAGTGCTATGCCCTTCACTGCCGCCACCGCTGCTTCCAGCACTGCACCCAAGGTCATCACTGCCCAGTACAATAGCCCAGCGGGCCTATACTCCTCGGAAAACATACAGACCTTCAACGACGCGGTGGAGTCCAAGTCCGCTCAGGGCGACCAGGAGCCCAGCAAAAAGTAAGTGGCTCCCCAGTTTTGCGCTCGACAGCACCACCACCACCACACAAGGGAAGCCCCGTTCTCTACCGTAGATGCACGGAGTGAGTGTATTTCTGCTGTGACGCACCTCAAGACTTCTTTTCTTTCAGGTTGGCCACTGGGCTGGCATGTGCCTGAGAACACCGGTTCTTCCGACGCGACAAAGAAAAACTAACGACCTTTCTGTTCTTTGATTCCCCAGCTGCCTGTGCCGTTTCAGCGCGCTTTCAGTATGACGTACGAGCCTTTAAAATTGCCTCCCCGCTCGCTCAGGTGCTCGTCGCTTCTATTATGAGAATAATTGTGGCTTTTTGTGATCTTCCCAACGAAATGGGATGGTCTGGCAGAGGGAGCACAAGGAAAGATCTCTCTTTTCAACGGAAGGTTTTGTGGTCCTGAAAGTAACATCTTTTTTTGGGGGGGGGGGTGAAGGGCTGAGAAACTTTTCTTAGATGTTTAAATCTTCAAGGTTCCCTAAAGGTATCAAACAGGTTGCTTCCTTTTCCAACCCCTGAGAGCTTTGCAGCAAACAGAAGTGTACCTTAGTAGGAGAAAACGCAAGTTAGAAGTGACATTTCTGCTGGAGGCATAAATGCTTCTGGGCACCAGTTGTGGTCCATAGGAGGCGAGAGATATCTTGTTGGCCACTGTGTGTCCTGGACTAGAATGAGTCTTTGGTCTGACCCAGCAGGCGCTTCTTATGCTTTGAATTGCTAAATATACCCTTCCACAGGAGAGGTTTTACGTCATTGTGGTTCCTGTACACTTCACCATTGCTGGCCCAAGATATTTTGCTTCCTGAAGTGGAACCAAAATGCCCCCTGTCTTGACTAAGACTAGGACTTCTTTTTTTTAAGTGCAGATATTTGCATTATTCTGGCAGCAATTCCTGCCTTCATCTACCCATCCCTCATGAAGCGGGTCCCTACATTTTAGTTACAGTGGTACCTCAGTTTTCGAACATCTCAGAAGTCGAACATTTTGGTTTTCAAACGCCGAAAACCCGGAAGTCACTACTTCAGTTTTTCGAACGCGTTTCGGAAGTCGGACGTGCCATGCCGCTTCCGTATTGAGCTTTCCGGAAGTAAATGCTTTGGTTTTTGAATGTCTCGGAAGTCGAATGGTCTTCTGGAATGGTGGTCCAGCGCCGAGGGCCTTCTGGTGGTTCCCTCGCTGCGAGAAGCCAAGTTACAGGGAACCAGGCAGAGGGCCTTCTTGATAGTGGCACCCGCCCTGTGGAACGCCCTCCCACCAGATGTCAAAGAGAACAACAACTACCAGACTTTTAGAAGGCATCTGAAGGCAGCCCTGTTTAGGGAAGCTTTTAATGCTTAATAGGTTATTGTATTTTAATATTCTGTTGGAAGCCGCCCAGAGTGGCTGGGGAAACCCAGCCAGATGGGTGGGGTATAAATAATAAATTATTATTATGTTTGAAAACCGAGGTACCACTGTAATCCACCAGTAGAATATTGTGTCTGTTCCTGACCATTCCTTAAGGGCCTCACACCCTGACCTGGAAATTATTTTCCCCTAGTGTTTTATGAGATCCAAATAGCCCAAGTCTTATCAGTGTGGTAACTCATCCAGATGCTCTCAGAGAAGGAATCCCTGTGGAGCAAGTTGAAATCAGGTAGTTCCCTGGTCCCTTCCTTACAACATGAATATATTCTGCTTTGCCGGCCATCTTGACTCCTCTTTGCCTCGCAAATTCCTAATGGATGAAGTGAGTGCTCCCTCCCTGTCTGTTAGCGCATACATAACTGTCTGTAAGACTTAACATTGGTGCATCAATCCACAGTCATTCAAATGAAGGGCTCACCCTGACTTCCATTTGTGCTGTGATTTCTACGGTAAAGGTTCAGGATAGGTTTTTGTTTTGTTCCGCCACTTTCCCCGGAATCGGAAAAAATGTTAGTCAGGTTTGCGGCAGAATGTTTGTTCCAATTCAGTGCTAAACAGCGAGTTTTCCTGGGGAAAAGAAGCAGGACCAGAAAACATGCTCAGACCTTTGTTTAGAAATCGCGGCACAAACAGAAGTCTCGATGAGCCCCAAGTTGTTCTATGTTGATATTGTGCTGGCTCCTTGGCTGTGTGGAACTGTCTAAACCAGGCTTCCTCAAACTCAGCCCTCCAGATGTTTTTGGCCTACAACTCCCATGATCCCTAGCTAGCAAGACCAGTGGTCAAGCATGATGGGAATTGTAGTCTCAAAACATCTGGAGGGGCGAGTTTGAGGAAGCCTGGTCTAAGCCGTCTTTTCCAAACTTGGGTCTCCAGCTGATTTTGGACTACAATTCCCACCATCCCTGACCACTGGTCCTGCTAGCGAGGGATCATGGGAGTTGTAGTCCCAAGAGAGCTGGAGACCCAGGTTTGGGAAACTTTGGTCTAAATGAAGCTGGTTTAGGGTTGCGATTGGTGCTGTAATTAATTTATGTCCTTTCTTCCCCACCTCCGTGGCCAATTATCATCCCGAACGTACCCCATCCTTTTTAATGCCCTCCTTTCGTGACTAGTCCTTTGTCATCTGCTGGAGGGTTCCAGGCTCCTTTTGCATCGGTCTATAACCCACTTCAGGCCTCTTCCTCCTCCCCTTTGCGAAGAAGGCACAGTATGTCGTCCATCCCCAGCCAAATCCGAGTGGGGCCCGGACAGCTCAAGGAAGTTGCTCAGATCTGCCCCAGCAGCCCTGTGGAAGTGGACGTGCCGGGACTCAAAGTGCGGCACGTACAGTTTAACTCTCCTTTACAGCTCTATTCGCAGAAAAACATCCTGGATTCTTTGCAGGGGCAGATCTCCTACGTTAGCCCCACCTTCCCCAGGTAAATTTGCCTGCCTCACATGCCGTTGAATTATCGTCCCTGCGCACATTCACTTTCCTCATCCTTTTGTGTGCATCCATCGCTCACTCATCGCGGTCAATTGTTGCAAAAAAAAAATCAAAAAAATCTCTACATTCTTGTGATGGATGCATCTCCTCAAGCTGAGATTTGGGGTTGCTTCTGAAGTAACGTTTTGGAGATTCCAGTCAGTGGAAGGGGCTCGCTGTGGTGTAAATATGCTGGATTTGGGCATGCTTCTCTAATATTCTTTTTTTGGGCGGTGTTGTGTTAATCCTTTACACCCCTGTTTATCGAGGATCACCTTATCCCTCTGTTAAATAGTGGGTAGACATAGCAGACGACGCAGCGATTCTCCAAACAGCTCTTGTTTATTCACAGGTCAGAACAGAACTGAACTGAAGGGTTCAGTCAGCCTGCTTATATAGAGCTCCAGTACAACGTAACTGTAACAATTTTCTAAAACTATCCAATCACTGAACATCACTTTCGATCCCTTATTTGCATAACTATCTACAGTATCCCACTGCTGGCCCAGGGTGAGAACTTCAGTACATAACACCCTCCATCACAAGATAGTGGTATTTATTAAATTCCTATACGGCCCTTCATCCGAGGATCACAGGGTGGCGTACAATAGAAAAACACAAAAATACACAACATGGTAGCAAGCAAAAACAATACCACCATCAGTATGGAGAGCCTTTTATCATGCAAACGTGGTTTCTTGTGCCTGAACCTAAAGCATAATAGGATAAGAAAACGAGAGAGCAAGGTCTGGATCAGGGAGAAATTTGAGCGTGCAAATTACCTGTGTATGAGCCCGGGGGAAATACTTTGGTGAGGACGACAACGTTACCTTGGAATTGGCCCTTGATGCATGAAGCCTGTCTCAGTAGCTTTTCCCAATTGCTCGTTTTTCTTCTCCTGTCGTGCATGGTTCAGGTTGGTCAAACAGGCTTTCTTCACACAAGCAGGAAGGATCTGTTCCATGGAATGTGTTGGATTTTGAACACCATCACTGGCAAGTTGTGACCACTCTAAATGCTTTTTGTGCATGCCCTGTGGCTGCCCATTAGCTACAAACAGGCCAGTTCCCCTTGTTAGAAATAAGGCATTGTAAGAGACAACCGGGATGCGGGTGGCGCTGTGGGTTAAACCACAGAGCCTAGGACTTACCGATTGGAAGGTCGGCGGTTCGAATCCCCGTGACGGGGTGAGCTCCCGTTGTTCGGTCCCTGCTCTTGTCAACCTAGCAGTTCGAAAGCACATCAAAGTGCAAGTAGATAAATAGGTACCGCTCCGGCAGGAAGGTAAACAGTGTTTCCGTGCGCTGCTCTGGTTCGCCAGAAGCGGCTTAGTCATGCTGGCCACATGACCCGGAAGCTGTACGCCGGCTCCCTTGGCCAATAAAGCGAGATGAGCGCCGCAACCCCAGAGTCGGCCATGACCAGACCTAACGGTCAGGGGTCCCTTTAACCTTTACCTTTAAGAGACAACCTGGCCTTTAAAGAAGCAATAGTGGAATAGAGAGATGGTTGAAAAGCTTTAGATATTCCAAATGTAGAAACCTCATTTTCTAATGGACTAAGAAATTTCAGAAAACCTTCCATTTAAATGTGGAGCTCAACCAGCAGGAAACAGAATAGCCTTGACCTACAGTTTGTAGAATCAGGTGCCTTTCCTCAGCCCAGTTTGGAAGCAAGATGAGCTGGGAGAGAAATATTCCAACCTGTTGAGCATGAAGGTATTGTGGTGTGGGAGAGAAAGAAAAATGCTTTTCTCTGTCATGGATGCTTTAGGTGAGATTCTGCAATGCAGGGAGTCCCATGCAAGCTTGCAAGTCTATAATTCTTTCATATGCCTCTTGATGGTAAAAAATTCACTCTACAGCCCAAACATATGTCAAGTTTTGACCCGGAAAATTCTCTGAGGTTTAATTTCCATGCTTTTGCACATTGTTCATGTTGTTGTTATCTTCAATGACCGCAATTAGTTAGGGGTTGCTTTTAGAGGCTGCAATTAGTGATTGCTAATGATAGTTCTGAGGGGAAGGAATTGGTGGTGTGTCATCACTGGAGCACTGGGTGAAGTTTTGAAGGTAAACCATGCAAGTTGAAACAAAATGTGATTGAACCTCTTCAGATTTAACATACTGCGGTTTGTGTATCATGTTTTAAAGCAATAGCTTGTCTTTTCAGTGTTTTATCTTGAATGAAATGGTTATATTTTTAACTTAAACAGCACCTCCGCCTTAGGCCCACTTGATAGTCGTGAAATGTGCTGGAAATAATGTGCATTATTTCTGGCTCCTATGCCTAATGGTGAAAACTCATCTGAATAGGAAAATAAGGGATCTTTCTTTGTGCCTTCTGGAAGTAGATAGTCATCTTTGCAAGGCAAAATGGAATGTCTGAATTGCCTCATAGACCTGGTTCAAACGTAGTTCATCACTCGATAAACATGAAGCGAGTCATCGCAGGTCAAACCCTATTGCTCTCATATTGCCTGAAGCAGAGATGTTTCTACATGAAGCCTGTTACATGTTCAGCCACAGCCCAGTCAAGTGATATGCATGAATCAGCTCTTATTGTTCTTCTTGTCTGTGTCTCTCACAAACAGCGAGTCTCGTGGATCCAGTGTGTGGGGCAGCCAGTTATGCACACTTATTCATGTTCATTATGTTGTGCTCATCTGCAGTTGTGCAGCTTAAGCCAGTCTTTTGTTTTGTGAATTGCCTGCTCGCCTGGGGTGAGTAGCAACAGCTGCCTGGGAAAATCTGATTGGCAAACGTCACCTGTCTTAGGCAGTGTGTGTAGCTTTCTCCCATGCAGCCAAGAGGCGGAATTTAAGCCTATCGATAACCCTCTATGTCGGACGCGGGTGGCACTGTGGGTTAAACCACAGAGCCTAGGACTTGCCAATCAGAAGGTCGGCGGTTCGAATCCCCGCGACAGGGTGAGCTCCCGTTGCTCGGTCCCTGCTCCTGCCAACCTAGCAGTTCGAAAGCATGTCAAAAGTGCAAGTAGATAAATAGGTACCTCTCCGGCGGGAAGCTAAACGGCATTTCCGTGCACTGCTCTGGTTTGCCAGAAGCGGCTTAGTCATGCTGGCCACATGATCCGGAAGCTGTACGCCGGCTCCCTCGGCCAATAAAGCGAGATGAGCGCCACAACCCCAGAGTCGGCCACGACTGGACCTAATGGTCAGGGGTACCTTTACCTTAACTCTCTTGTTAAAGTAAAAGTACCAAAAATTCTGGAGATATTCTAATTCAGAGTCCATTAGTTTGGACCCAGAGAGACCAGTAAACCTAGACCCCACAAACCCAAGCGGTAGGCATCACACATTATATTCTGGAAGCACCAATAATGGGGGGAAGTAACAAGATTGGTGTAAGTGTATACTTAAAAGTAGTTTTAAAAGGGGAAATACCAAGAAACTACTGTTAGGAGGCAATGACTGGCTTTTCCTGCATTCTGTTGTAGATTTAATCTCACTGCCGCTTGTTTGTGCAAAGACACTTTCCGTCTCTAGTTGTTTCACTCTGTGTCTCAAGTTTTCTCTTACCTTAAAACAACAACAAAAATGCTGTTAGCAGATCTCTCAACACTTCATTCATTAAAGGGGTTTCATTTAATTTTTCTTAGCTTGGAACAACTTAACCAGCCTGCCGGTAACTTAGTGATTGACAGAGACTCTGAGGTCTACAAGATGCTGCAGGAGAATCAAGATTCGGCAGAGCCGCCTCGACAATCCACCTCATTCTTGGTCCTCCAAGAAATTTTAGAATCTGAAGAGAAAGGTAAAGGGGTGTGTGTGTGTACACGTTGGTTTTTAAGAAACAAGGACTGTTAAGCTCAAAGACTTGGCTGGAAATACTGTATTTTTCGCTCCATAGGGTGCACCTAGTTTTTAGGGGGGGGGAATAAAGAAAAAAAATTATTCCCCCCCCCCCAGCCGCGGGGCTGGGGCAGGGGAAGCCCGAGCTTCCCCCGACCCCAGCCCCCAGAACAGGTCCAGGAGCGGCGGCAAGATTGCGCGCAACCTCGTCGCCGCACCCGGAGCTTGCGGGGCTGGGGACGGGGGAAGCCCGAGAACAGGCTGCTATCCGCAAGCCTTCGGAGTCCGAAGGCATGCAGATAGCTGCCTGAAGCCCGGGGAGCGCAGTGGGAGTTGGCGCTGCGCTCCCCGGGCTTCAGGCTGCAGGCTGCTATCCGCAAGCCTTCGGAGCCCGGCGGGAACTCCCACTGCGCTCAGAAGGCTTGCGGATAGCTGCCTGAAGCCTGGAGAGCGAGAGGGGTCGGTGCGCACCGACCCCCCTCACTCTCCTGGCTTCAGCGAAAGCCTGCATTCGCTCCATAGGACGCACACACATTTCCCCTTCATTTTTGGAGGGGAAAAAGTGTGTCCTATAGAGCGAAAAATACGGTAATAGAGGGAGAAGGAAGCAGCATTTGATCCTTATGACCCTTGCTCTGAACCAGCTCCCCTGTGGGACAGACATGTTGCAAAGTTACATTGATGTTCTTAAAAATAGCAGCTGCGAGGAGGGAAATCGGGGGCTAGAGGGCAGGGAGAGGGTTTAATCTTTCCACACGGTAGTCCCGGTGGAAATTGCCTTCCCCTCGACCCCCAAGAAACGACAATTTGGCTCAGGAGGGAAGCTCCTTTTTATCACACTCATCAAACCACATTCCTTATAGGGATTATAAAGGAGTGCTTTAGACTTCTTATGGGAAAGCTAAGTCATTCTGGGTACTTAATATGGAGGGAAGCTGTTGAATGTGGGATAGATGCAAGATTGTTTGGTTTGGTGGGGGAAGCCGAGCTGGGAACTGAGGGTCAAAACTGAGCAGTGAAAATTCACCGAAATCTGCACTTCTGACATGGGCTGCCATACGGCTGGATTTTCCCAGACATTTCAGCAATTTCCACTCGGACACTGTTTACAAGGGCCAAATACCGGCTACGTTCAGAAAATTCCAGACGTATGGCAACCCAACACAAAACCAAAACACTCTTATCTGCAATAGTATTCCTGTTGTAACCTATGCAACATTTCAGTCCTTCAAAACCACTGCCAAAAGCCACAGGGGTGGACTTCAGACTTTCAAATTTCTGCCACACCTTGTGTGAGGCCAAAATTTCATTGGACATGCATTTTTATATATATATATATATTTACTTCAACATGGTGCCAGGGAAATATCTCCAAGGATGCTGTTTTATTTCCTCAGCAGAAACCATGGCCTGTATTGATTTTATACTCAAGACAGTTCTCCTAATCTGTAATACTGGTTGCTTTAAAATACCTACAGATCCCAATAAGCCCTCCGGATTCCGAAGTGTAAAAGCACCAACAACCAAAGTCGCGGCATCGATTGGAAATTCTCAGAAGCTTCCTGTCTGTGATAAGTGTGGATCTGGCATCGTGTAAGTAGCAGAACGAGCAGTCATTGGAGACTGCGTTGTGGAGAGGCTGTAGTTCAAGCATAGGCAAACTTGGCCCTCCAGATGTTTTGGGACTACAGCTCCCATCATCCCTGATCACTAGTCCTGTTAGCTAGGGATCATGGGAGCTGTAGTCCCAAAACATCTGGAGGGCCAAGTTTGGCCATGCCTGCTGTAGTTTGAGGAAAGACTTTTCAGCTTTGAGAAAATGGTTAAGGGAGGGTTGTGGTGGAAGTTTTAGTATCAAGTAGCATGTGAATGGGTAATCATGAACTAAACAACAGCCAAATACCACAGCAACTGGGTCTTAAAGCAACATGAACTGGCCATTATTACTCATGAGTGAAGCCTATTCATGTGATCTATGGAAAGCAGGGTCAACTGGCGATGTGAGCTTTTTTGCATTTTGTACAGTGGTACCTGGGTTTACAAACTTAATCCGTTCCGGAAGTCCGTTCTTAAACCAAAGCGCTCTTAAACCAAGGCGTGCTTTCCCATAGCAGCGGGGGACTCAATTTACAAATGGAACACACTCGACAGGAAGCGGAACATGTTCTGCTTCTAAGGCAAAGTTCACAAACCAAAACACCTACTTCCAGGTTTGCAGCGTTCTTAATCCAAGTTGTTCATAAAGTAAGCTGTTCTTAAACCACGGTACCACTGTATAAGGTTATAAACTTCATTAGGGAAAAGGTAAAGGGACCCCTGACCATTAGGTCCAGTCGTGGCCGACTCTGGGGTTGCGGCACTCATCTTGCTTTATTGGCCGAGGGAGCTGGCGTACAGCTTCCGGGTCATGTGGCCAGCATGACTAAGCCGCTTCTGGCGAACCAGAGCAGCGCACAGAAACGCCATTTACCTTCCCGCCGGAGCAGTACCTATTTATCTACTTGCACTTTGATGTGCTTTCGAACTGCTAGGTTGACAGGAGCAGGGACTGAGCATCTGGAGCTCACCCAGTCACGGGGATTCGAACCGCCAACCTTCTGATCGGCAAGTCCTAGGCTCTGTGGTTTAACCCACAGCGCCACCCACGTCCCGTATGCCTATTTCATATGGTGTTCTTTCCTGGTCTCCCCAACTTGTATCACATTTACAGCCCTCTATGAGGGCAGAGGTCTGCAGTCGAGAGCTTCCTCTGCTCAAGGAGGCTGCCCTTCCCTCTGGCAGGTCTGTGGCAGATTTTAATATTTTTAAAAACACGCCCCTATTGCGTATTTGCCAGCACCTCTTCCAAAAGATCTGCATGGTAGCAAATGTGCCATGCAGCTGTGGCGGTGGCAGCAAAACATTGGGCAGGCAATTAAATTTCCCTGCCCTGTGCTTCAGGGCTGAGCTGATGTAATATTTACTGTATTAATTGTAATATTAATATTTGTGTTCTGCTTTTCCAACAACAAATGTTGGCAGAACCGCATCTGCTAAATGGTTTTAAGCTTTTGCCAGAACAGCACCTCTTCCAGATACGATGAATCACATTACAGTGATGGGCAGCATTACCCAAATGGGCAGCATATAATAAAATTATTATTATGGGTGCCCCCAAAGAATCCTGGTTATCTTAGTTCAAGAGTGATGAAAGTTATTAGCAGACCCCTTTCCCCCCCACAGGTCCACAATTCCCAGAGCGGTTTAACAATGAACCCCTCTTCGCAGTAACCTTTAATCCAAGTTATATGACCTTCCTAGGGACGTGGGTGGCACTGTGGGTTAAACCACAGAGTCCAGGATTTGCCGATCAGAAGGTCGGCGGTTTGAATCCCCGCGACGGGGTGAGCTCCCGTTGCTCAGTCCCTGCTCCTGCCAACCTAGCAGTTCAAAAGCACGTCAAAGTGCAAGTAGATAAATAGGTACCGCTCCGGCGGGAAGGTAAACGGCGTTTCCGTGCGCTGCTCTGGTTCGCCAGAAGCGGCTTAGTCATGCTGGCCACATGACCCGGAAGCTGTACACCAGCTCCCTCGGCCAATAAAGCGAGATGAACGCCGCAACCCCAGAGTCAGTCACGACTGGACCTAATGGTCAGGGGTCCCTTTACCTTTTTATATGACCTTCCTGAATTTTGATCCTGGTTCTGTTTTCTTCCCAGAGGTGTGTTTGTGAAGCTCCGGGAGAAGCACCTCCACCCAGAGTGCTACGTGTGCAGCGACTGCGGAACAAACCTGAAGCAAAAGGGGCACTTCTTTGTGGAGGATCGCATCTACTGTGAGAAGCACGCCCGGGAACGGGTTACCCCGCCTGAAGGATACGATGTGATCACTGTGTTTCCAAAATGAGTGTTTTTCCGGCACCCTACCAGGCACCACTGTCTTCTGCCTCTGAATTCTCCTCGCAGTCACGGAGGCTCAGCGAGGCTTTTGCCAGTGGACCTTTTTAGTAAGTGAACCACTTCCATTTTTATAAAGAAAATCCGCTCGGTCGGAGGGAATTGCCCCTCTTTTTGATAATGCAACTCTTCTTCCGCAACTAAAAATTGGATGCCAGAGGCCAAGCCACACGATTGTTCTTTTTCTACTCAATAAAAGGAGCTGACTCAAACCGCTGTCTGCATTGTGTTTGAGTTAGCATTGTGTGGACTAGATGCAGAGCAAACGGGAGTATACACCAAAAGTACTCCTGTCTCAAAGTTAGATTTTTAAAAATCCAGGTCAGCAAAAATATTGCCTCTCCCTCACCAGTGTGCTTTTCTGCTTCCCACTTTGATATCATTTACACAAGTTTCTTGTCAGGGCTGGGGGTGTGTTGCATGATGTCTCAGAGTTCTGCAGTCTGTGGAAAGGGCTTGCTTACTTTAGTTTCCCATGGTGTGGTTTTATAAAAAGAACTGCCTGTTCCCCGTTTCCTTCTGCTTGCCTTTGTTTTTTGTTATTGCTGAAACTGAACTGTTTCTGAAGCGGTGCTTTTAAGTACTTACATTCATTCTTTTGGTGTGAAATACTATGATGCAACTCTCTTCTTCAGACTCGTGCCAAGGAAAACACACTTCTCACTGGGCATAGCAACTAATTCCGTCTTTGAGCAATAACACTAGGTATCTAGATAACAAAACATTCCACCCCTCCTTCCCCCAGTGGTTTGATAGCAGATTGTTGTAGAATTGGCTTTTACCTAGAGCAGTAAGGGGAACAACTTTGCAATTTACTTTCATCCCCGAGTGCCAAACTGGGAGCAGGAGCTGAGTTTCCCATCATGAGGAGGTACCCTGAATTGTCTCCCCTGCCTTGATAAATTTCTTTGGCTCTTTACTATCAGTTGGTACTTTTACACCAACCATTACTGACGAGACAGGTGTAGAATTTCAAGCTGGGGGTTATTTCTTGTAGTGCTTCTAGGAGACGACTGAACACGTGGATTTGCAGTAACTCTGCTACCTTGCAAGTGCTGCTTGTTACAAAACAATTTATTTAGCAGAATTATCAAAAACTGAAGTCATACAGGTTTGGACTTTGAAACAAAATACATCGACCAAATAAAACTATAGTTGAGGGCAAGGAGTAAGCATACTGAGAAGTAAAAAAACCAAAAACTCCAAATCCTACCATTTATCAGAACTTCCACAGGAAACTATAGTAGTATTTAGCTTTCCAGTTTGTACAATGTCAGAGGAGCTAAAATCCAAGGGGAGCCCAAAAGCTCTCTTTTCACATCTACACTTAGTAATGTTACATTTTAGAGCCTTATTTTCTTTCTGGAAAATGATACAACCAAAACAATAGTCTGAAATGCGTTTCTGAACTCTTAAGAACAAAGCAACTGTAAGGTTACAGTCACCAGCTGCCTGTATCTCAAAACACACACTCTGTGCTGACATCTTCAGAGTTTTCTAAAACCTTGAACGCTCTCATTTTCTCTTTAAGTTGCTCAGAAGTTTTCATTTGGTCTAGGGAGAAAGAAATCAAGACACAGTTTAGAGCACCTGCCTTGAACTGGTGGATCGGGAAATTTGAGTGGGTTGTGGCCTGATCTAAGGTGGGTCGCAACAGGAGTGCTACTGTGCAAAATATATGGTGAATGATTAAGGAAAAAGTCCCCAAAATGCATGTTTGGGTTAAAAATGGGCCCTAGGTCTGAAAAGCTTGAAGATGTCTGTGTTCATAAAGACTAGAGTCTCAGTAAACAGCCAGGTTGTTCTTTCAAACCAACCTAGCCCTCCTTTATAAAAAGACCATGCTCTCTGAAAGAACAGAGCCACTTTTTGTCTTGTGTAGTTTTAAACTCTAGCATTCTTTTTTTTGATAACACAATCAAACTGACAATTATTCAGTAGTAAGAATCGGATTAAGTAGCTAGGCCGAAAGTTAAGTCACTACCAATGCAGTTGTTTCTCTCCTAGCACAATCGCTGCAGAAAAAACTGCTCCTTTGTGGCAAAACCGTGCGTATATATCGGAGTTATCAGCTGCACATTTTGTGCTAAGCAACTTGCGCAGTAAAAACAGAGAAACAAAAGTATTTTAAAAACAGATAGTTGGTCAGAAGCAGCAACAAACAATTGTAATTGGGGAATCCCACCTTTCCTTTAAGGAATTGTATCTCTCAGCTGGGAGAGTTCATGCTACACACAGAGTTCACATTTGAAACTGGTTTCTGGAGAGAGATTCAACAGAATAGAAAAGACACTGATATATGTACTTACCAATAAGGTCACTCCTGTCCAGCAGTAGCTCTAAATCTTTGTCAGTTATGACTTTTTCTCTTGATCCTTTAACCTCTCTGCAGATGGAAAGAAAGTATACATTACTTTCAGATAGCTGAGTTCCAGTGCAACCATATTTATTTACTTGAAACTAAGCCCTGCCATTAGGACTGCAAGTCATTAAAGCACCTCCAACATACAAACCCTTCATTAAATAAGCATAATGAATTTTTGCACATAAACCAAATGGTTTCTTTGTAAGTGAGACATACCTGTCGTAGTCCCTGGACTGTAGCAGCTCCATTAATTCCTTGGGGTCCAAGCAACTCTTTGACTGGTTTATTCCAAATTTCCCACCTTTAAACTGATCTTGAAGTTAGACAAGGGAAAAAAACATATTTGAGAGAGAGAAAGCACTGCTGCTTGGGCTTTCTGACAGTATGAAGAAACATCTGGCCACGACACTGGTACAAAAGCTATTAGTTCATAAACGTTCTGTTCTCTGCACATTCCATTTTGTCTCGTTGCACACAATTATGGATCAGAGAGTTTTCTGAAACATTTCCCAAACAGGTTTGCGACGTTACATTCAGTACAAGAAAACTTACGAGTAAACTGATTTGACAGGCACGTTTACGTGGTGGAAACACCATTAGATCCCAGTTGGGACGTGGGTGGCGCTGTGATCCAACCCACTGAGTCTCTTGGGCTTGGCGATCAGAAGATTGGCGGTTCGAATCCCTGCGATGGGGTGAGCTCCCGTTGCTCTGTCAACTCATCAACCTAGCAGTTTGAAAGCACACCAGTGCAAGTAGATAAATAGGTACCACTGCAGCAGGAAGGTAAACGGCATTTCCATGCGCTCTGGTTTCCGTCACGGTGTCCCGTTGCGCCAGAAGCGGTTTAGTCCTGCTGGCCACAGGACCCGGAAAGCTGTCTGTGGACAAACACCGGCTTCCTTGGCTTGAAAATGAGATGAGTACCGCAACCCCATAGTTACCTTTGACTGGACTTAACCGTCCAGAGGTCCTTTATCTTTAACCTAGATCCCAGTTGCTTTTCGCCAACTTGGGCAACATTCATGATGTTATACGGCAAGACCTGGTCTTGGTAACTCGTTCTCCCAGGTAGGTTTGTACGACCCCCTAGGATTGCAAACGTTTGATACGTGTCTTTGACCTACAAAAGGAGAAGGGCCAACGGTGCAAAATGGGTGCTTTTTATGGAAATATTCCCTCTTGGCTAACCGTCCAGGGGCTGCTGGCCAGTGGCAGCCAAAGATGGACGTGCCAACGCCCAAACATATGAAGGAAAAAGGAAGTAGAACCTCAAGCCTGTCACTGTTTCCATCAGGTGATCATTGGTTTAACGTCCTGTTGCTTTTGACACCTGGGCATAACTATTTATAGACCCAAAGTAATAGGAAAAATGCAGAACCACCTCCCTGCTTGTTCCTGTCCATCACAACCGACACATATCCATTACGTTCCTGCATATTTTCGAAGTGCTGCCTTACAGTCAAGATTACTGGAAACTGATGCTGCCTGGATACGGCTATTTTTCTCCTTTTTACTTGCAACCTTGACTCGGCTTATCACGGAGGGATCTGAGATTCAGCTCCTTTCAGGAGGAGACTGCCATCAACGAGTCTGTTCTCTGCCCACAGAGCAGCACATCTGAAAGCCCCCGTCGCGTCTAGAATCCGCACTAGCCCTGCATCTCTCTGGCGACAGCAGGAGAGACAACGCACACGGCAAGGAGCTTGCAAGAGCCCAAGCTTTGAACTCCATTGCAATCGGACGCCACCTGTTTTCTTCTGCCTTTCAACAGCTTGGATGGTGCCTCTCACCCAACACGCTGAGTGCTAGTTAGCACCATCAAGCGGGCTACAATCTTGTGAACACAAGGCAGGTTTACTTCCAAAATTATTTTGTCTCGTGCGTCCCAGAAGCCAGGAAACACAGCAGCAAAACTCTGCTCTGAGAGCCAGTGTGGTGTAGTGGTTAAGAGCGGTAGACTCGTAATCTGGGGAACTGGGTTCGCTCCCCCGCTCCTCCACATGCAGCTGCTGGGTGACCTTGGGCTAGTCACACTTCTCTGAAGTCTCTTAGCCCCACTCACCTCACAGAGTGTTTGTTGTGGGGGAGGAAGGGAAAGGAGAATGTTAGCCGCTTTGAGACTCCTTTGGGTAGTGATAAAGCGGGATATCAAATCCAAACTCTTCTTCTTCTGCTGCTCAAGGCGGTGCAAATGGCAACAGCCCTTGTGGCAGAGCAGTGGGCAAAAGCTCTCTTAAGTGTGTGATCATTTGTTGCTCTCAACGTCAGCCGATTTAAGTCTGTGGGTTCTACCACAGTACACAATCCAATGCATAGCCAAGCAAAGTTATGTACAAGGTGTGACCGGAAAGTTCGGTGACTGGTCACGGAAATCAGGCAGCGAGAATTATTTGAATATACAATTGGCATCGGAAACCCATGAAATGCTCACAATTGTGTACAGAGATGAAGATGTAAGGGTGGTTTAAGCGTTTCTGTAAAGGGCGGCAAGCCATCGAAGATGACCCTCAGTCTGGCACTGTCGATGAGCGGAACGGTGGCAAATGTTGACAGAGTTCATGAGTTATTGATGTGGGATCGGCGTTTGTCCGTCCAAATGATGGTGGAAGAATTGCATATTCTGCGCGAGATTGTTACTGAGCTGTCCCACCCTCCATATTCTCCTGATCTGGCCCCACCGGATTTTTTTCTTTTTCCAAAACTGAAATTTGCACTGAAAGGGCAGAGATTTTCCAACGTTCCACACGTCCAAGCTGCTGTGACGAGGGAACTGAAAGCAGTACAGAAAGAGGACTTCTTCAGAAGTTCCCAACAGTTCTATGAACGTTGTCAACAGTGCATTGTGTCAGAGGGGGCCTACTTTGAAGGCCTGTAAGGTATGTATGTACGAATATTTCTCACTGTCTGATTTCTGTGACCATTCATCGAACTTTCTGGTCACGCCTTGTACATTTAGAGAAACCACATTCATAACTATTAGCCCAAGAAGGAAAACCTGTCAATTTTGGTAAGAAAAATGAAGTTGCTACTAACTTTTGTGGATAATCAGCTTCTCTAACTTCCTTTTGGCAGCAGCTCTCTCCACAATCTTCTGATCGATGGTGTTTGCAGTTACAAAGCGATAGACGACCACCGGCTTTGTCTGGCCTATTCGGTGACATCGGTCTTGGGCCTGGAGGTCAGACTGAGGGTTCTAAGAATGGGAAAGAAGGGAAATGAACTCCAGAGATAAAATTGACCTCAGATTAAGGGGTTTGTTTCCCCTTTTTTTGCAGGCAGTGCCAGCTTTCCCAGAAAAAACAGAAAAAAGGTTCTAGCTTTCTGCAAGTTTGAGATTAAGGAAAAATATATGAATATATGGAACTGCTTTATGCTGGGTTGGACCAGTAGTCCACATAGTCCATTATTGTCTACTTCAACTAGCAACAGCTAAGGCAGGCTTCTACCTTACAAATGTATTTCACACACACAAAATGTGACCCCTCCTGACTGCCAGGAATGCAGAAACCACTAAACATCTGGGGTTGGGGGGGAAAGAGAAATAAGAAAAGTTTACAAAGTGCTGCTGTGGTGATGCCTGATCTGACTTGCTGCCTGCAGGCCACATGCTCCATTCTACCTAGCAAAAAAGACTCGCTGGGGTTTTCTTAATTTCACTTTTCCTGCTTATTTCAATCTGATGTAAAGTGCTGTACCTCAGCCAGAGTTGTTTAGTTCAGGTATAGGCAAACTCAGCCCTCCAGGTGTTTTGGGACTACAACTCCCATCATCCCTAGCTAACAGGGTCAGGGATGATGGGAATTGTAGTATCAAAACATCTGGAGGGACGAGTTTGCCTATGCCTGGTTTAGTTGATACAGAGATTAAAAATACATAATTGCTTGACTGAACTTTGGAATTTCTGAAACAAAATCTTCTAAGCCTCATGCCATTCCTGTGAGCTGTTTAGAAGTTGGCATGTTCCTGTAGAACCAGAACAGGCTCTTCATAGAATCTGAATTTAAGAGGGGCAGAAATATAAATCTTCCTCTCATCATGCTTCCCTGGAGAACTATTTCTCCATCTGCACCAGGCTTTGGAGGCAGCTTGCTGGGCAGTGCTGACGGCTGCCACCATAAAACACTTAACTGAGATTCCTGCATTGCAGGGGGTTGGACTAGATTACCCTCGGGATCCTTTCCAACTCTGATCCCTGAAGCCCCCCTCCCCATGTGTGTCACTCAGCATACAGCCCTTTGAGACCAGGGCCCATGACAATTTATACACGTCAACATGCGAAACATACCCAGTCACTGTCATAAATGATTACTGTGTCCGCTGCCGTCAAATTAATGCCAAGACCTCCAGCCCGTGTGCTCAGCAGAAAGATAAAAACCTCCGGATCTGTGTTAAACTTATTTATCTGCAAATGACAAACGGTAAACACATTAGGTTAATAATGTGGTTTATGGTGCCAACCAAACAGTCACTAAACAGTGAACCAACAGGGTTCTAAATCATGCAGGGAGCCTCCACGAACTGTGAAGATTCCCCAGTTCAGAAACAATCCCCATAAATCATGAAGGGCTGCAAGGATGGCCAAAGCGCTGAGCCCTGGGGACAGGACTTGCCAGTGCATCCACAGACTATGTCACACAATGACTATTGTATAAGTGAAGCACATGTTCAAAGAGGACTACAGATGTTAGTGTAAGACTTAATTTCAACTGCAATTTCATCACCGCCTCAGTTAGTCAGGACAGCTTCTACCTAAACATGTCATCAATACATTTTAAGGCGCAAGCTACCTACTGATAATAAGCAGAACACAAATAACAACTTTTCAAGCATCATCTTTGAGAAATCCCGGCACTGAAGTGGGTGGTGAGGCTGCCTCAGGCTAGTGAGTTCATAGACTAAGCCAGAACTTGCTGATATTTCTAGCTAAACTCTGTTGATAAAAGTTCTCTGCTGCGATGCAAAGGGAATCTCAGAAGAGTCAAACAAACCAGGATACAATAAATTTATCACCTACGTTTTCTTCCCTCTCTGCATACGCCATGGACCCGTCTAGGCGACTGAACTCGTACGACCTCAGATAGCAATAGTCCATCAGAATATCCAACATTTTTGTCATCTGTGAGAACAGCAGCACCTGAACAGAGCAAAGATTCTTCAATAATGTGAACTCAGGTGTCCAGGCAAATAACTTCTGGTAACACCACAAACTAACAATACCTTGTGTCCTCGTTTTTTTAGTTCTGGCAGCATGCGATCCAAGAGTAAGAATTTGCCCGAACTCTTCACTAGATCTTCGTCGACCTTGATGCAAGAACACACACGTACAATTTAGGACATTCTAATTAAATCATAGGTCTAAACCACAGAGCCTAGGGCTTGCTGAACAAAAGGTTGGTGGTTTGAATCCCTGCGATGGGGTGAGCTCCTGTTGCTCGGTCCCAGCTCCTGCCCACCTAGCAGTTCAAAAGCACGTCAAGTGCAAGTAGATAAATAGGTACCACTCCGGCAGGAAGGTAAACGGCATTTCTGTGCGCTGTTCTGGTTTGCCAGAAGCGGCTTAGTCATGCTGGCCACATGACCCGGAAGCCGTCTGTGGACAAATGCTGGCTCCCTCGGCCTATAGAGCGAGATGAGCGCGCAACCCCCGTGTCATCCACGACTGGACCTAACGATCAGGGGCACCTTTACCTGGTGGAACGCTCCGTCACAAGAGACTAGGGCCCTGCGGGACTTGACATCTTTCCGCAGGGCCTGCAAGACTGAGCTGTTCTGCCAGGCCTTTAGTCGGGGTTCAATCTGACTCCCTCTCCCCTTTCATAAGAACTTGCATGAAAGTGGCCTCCCAATTTTTCTCACAGGCCCATATAAGTTCAGCACAAACAGTTGGGCCTGGTGAGCATTTAAGGTCCCAACCCTAATCAGCGGGTTGCCATCCGATTGGATTTTATTATGATCCTGATCTGATTTGAGGATGAATTTTAATTGATTCTCTGATTTTATGTTAATGTAGTATACATTTGATGTTAGCCGCTCTGAGCCCGGCTTCGGCTGGGGAGGGCGGGATATAAATAAAATTTATTATTATTATTATTAATAAATCATATTTGCATTAGAAGCAACTAGCTTCGCACGAGGAACCTGTGGCCCTCTAGTCACCTGTTGGGACTCCAACCCGCAATGGTCCCTGATCAGCACGGCAGGAGTAATGGGAGATGCAGCCCATCGGAAGAGCCACAGCTTCCTCAACTCTGCTTTCCATAACAGCTTTCCCTGCTCTTCTGGCAATGATGTTTGTAACTATGCTGCCTTCATTTCTTCCAAAACATTTCATCAAGCAATAGCGTCACTGGTGAACAGCTAAAAAGGACAATTTGAACTCACTGCCCCTTCCTCTCCCATCCCCTGCCCGGTGGTTCCAGGGTTATTTACCCCAGTAGGTTTTATCCCCTTGTTGGCAGGCCTCAAGAATGGCACCAGGAAAAGAGCCTGGAGTTGGAAAAAAAAGCCTCTGAAGTCTAAACCACCACCAATAAAAGCTATGTATAAAACACAGTGCACTGTTTGAATGTTCTTCTAACGGGCCCAAAATTATAAGAAATGTTGAAGAAAGTATCGAAAAGACAACCGACTGAAAGTTAAATGCTGAGATGTTTGAACCTTCCAATAATAAAGGTAAAGGGAACCCTGACCATTAGGTCCAGTCGTGACTGACTATGGGGTTGCACGCTCATCTCGCTCTATAGGCCGAGGGAGCCAGCGTTTGTCTGCAGACAGCTTCCGGGTCATGTGGCCAGCATGACTAAGCCGCTTCTGGTGAACCAGAGCAGCACGGAAACACCGTTTACCTTCCTGCCGGAGCGGCCCCTATTTATCTACTTGTACATGACATGCTTTCGAACTGCTAGGTTGGCAGGAGCAGGGACCGAGCAACGGGAGCTCACCCTGTCACGGGGATTCGAACCGCCGACCTTCTGATCGGCAAGTCCTAGGCTCTGTGGTTTAACCCACAGCGCCACCCGCGTCCCTGAACCTTCCAATACAATAAATCAAAGTCGGTGTGTCTTGATTTTCTGGGTTCTGTTTTTTAAAAAATTGGGTGGGAAGATAACCCCAGGTAACAAACTGTATGGTTAAATTCCCCCCCCCTCACACACACTCATTCTAGGTTAGGGCAAAGTTCTAGGTTATAGAAAACTGCTCCATTGTGAGGTTAGGAGCCTATTCTCTCTTAGCAAATAACTTTTGCACACAAGCAAAGGCAAATAAGAGGGAGCGATACAATAGTGTAGCTTCCCTCAAACAGTGGCCTTGGGCATTTTCAACTGGGCATCAGTGTCGCAGCCTCCTCTATAGACTGCCCTACTGGCTGGGCGTGCAATAATCTTGTGGCTGGACTTATGGCGGTGTCAGCAATTCTTTGCATAGTGTGCTAAGGTGGTTGGAAGATGAGAGAAGTTGTGGGATGTAAGGAAGCTCTCCTGTCCTCTTTCAAAGTCCTGACATGAGTCTTTTGACTGCTCGTCACCCACTTCATTCACGAGAGCGAACTGTTCTCTGCAAATCAAACTGCGATGCCATCAGGCGAAGCCATTCAAACAACATTGGAATGAACAAAAGGCCTTTTAAGTAAGCGATGGGAGGAAATACCTTAAACTGCTGGGTGGCAGCGTCCAATGGATATTCAATAAGGTATGGGTGGTTGCAACACTTCCTCAGTAACATCATAATGTTCTGCAACTTCAGGTTGATTTCTGAATCCAACGGCATACTCATTTCTATTACTGGCCTTGCAAACGACAAGCGAGTTTATAAGCATGATGGAATCAAACGACAATGAAAATTACAGCTGGAATCTAGCTAAGCCCACAAAAGATACTACGTTGCTAGCAGCCTGTGTTTTCACAATGGCTGTAGAGCCACAGCGAAGAGATACAGTGGTGCCTCGCAAGACGAAATTAATCCGTTCCGCGAGTCTCTTCGTCTTGCGGTTTCTTCGTCTTGCGAAGCACGGCTCTTAGCGGCTTAGCGGCTATTAACGGCTTAGCAGCTTTAAGAAAAAGGAAACAAACTCGCAAGAACTCGCAAGCCCATAGGGAAATTCGTCTTGCGGAACGACTCAAAAAACGGAAAACTCTTTTGTCTTGCGCGTTTTTCGTCTTGCGAGGCATTCGTCTTGTGAGGTACCACTGTACCAGCCTCTGAGCAAGATAGCAAAAAATGCATTCCATCAAACAGGCCGAAGACTGGTCTTCCTTCCTCTGCTGGGAGCACAGAAACCAAGTGTGCTAGCAGAAAAGGGATGGAGGGGGCAGCCTGCTGGGATGGATTCTGGGTGTGAAACAAGGGCACTGAGCCTTGGTGGCAATAGCAGGGGAAACTGGTCAGTGTTGATTGCAAAGCAATTGACCTTTCAATAAAACACGGGGCTAGAAGGCTGCCTGCTCCCGAAATGTCTCAATTTGGTTCCCGGTCCTGGAGAAAGGTTACAAAATTTAAAAATGATGATATTCTTTAAAGTGCAAGAATTCTACTCCAGAGTTCTCATTAGCTTTGGACTTGAGAGAGAAACAAAAGTGGGGGGGGGTGCATGTGCCCTGCGTTGCATGTGTAAGAACTGGGGAAATGTTAGAAAAGGGCTAGTTCTATACTCTGAAACCTGTTCTCCATTTTCCTTAAAAGTGTTCTTCCCCTGCAAAAGAGCCCTGTGCTTTTCTTTCTATTTCTCCAAAGTTCTGCAGCCTCCCTGGCTGCTCACACTTCCTGATCTGAAAAAACCTCAAGGGAGAATTTACACCTGTGTTTAACTGAAGTCGAGGAATCTGGGGACACTGGCTACTACATGCATGAGACTGGTGTGCTCAATAATTTAATTTATTCAATAAGTTCTTCATTTTACCTTCTTAATAGTTCAGTTGGAAGAGCACGAGACTCGTAATCTCAGGGTTGTGGGTTCTAGCCCCACATTGGGCAAAATATTCCTGCACTGCAGGGGGTTGGACTAGATGACTCTCGTGGTCCCTTCCAACTCGGCAGTTCTACGATTCTATGATTTCTGCACTGACTTATTCAAAAATGTCGGCTTGGGGGAAGGGTGGCCTGAAAAGGCTGGATGGCTCATGCAGCGAGTCTGCACGTTGAGCTCAGATGCCCCTGCTTGTGGGGGACGAGAGGTTGTCTCCTGGATTCAAGACCGCGATCTCTAGCATGAAATGTGCATGTTATCCCAACTCTCTGCAATGCAGGAATCTCAACTAGATCATCCATGACAGCTGGCCATCCAACCTGTGCTTAAGAATCTCCAACGAAGGATAGTCAACACCTCCTGGGGGAGTCCGTTCTGCTATCCCAACAGCTCTTAGTGTCAGAAAGTTCTTCCTGATACAGTGGTACCTCGGGTTACAGATGCTTCAGGTTACAGACTCCGCTAACCCAGAAATAGTACCTTTGGTTAAGAACTTTGCTTCAGGATGAGAACAGAAATTGCACAGTGGCGGCAGGAGGCCCCATTAGCTAAAGTGATGCTTCAGGTTAAGAACACACCTTCAGAATGAATTAAGTTCTTAACCCAAGGTACCACTGTATTGGTGATACTATCTCTGGATTCAGAGGTAAGGTAAGTAAAGGACTGCTCAATCATCTGTACAACACCACATTTTATAGAGACAGTTTATTCTCCAACTCTCTACTGTGATGGTTCTTTGTATATGCCACCAGTTTAAGTGCAAATACACAAGCCATGGTTAGATAAATACCTCTCTTTTTCAACTTCCTCTTGCATTTCGGCTATCATCTGCTCCAGTCGATCAGGAAAATCATCTTCATCAAGCTCACGGTAACTAGCCACCTTCCGACTGCGCCGCTTTGGCCGGCCTGTAGAGCTCAGCTCAACAGCTTCTTCCTAAATAGTGGAAAACATTGCTACAGTTCACTGTGATGCATTGGGAAAAAACCCAAAAAGCAGCTGTGATAAGAAAATAGGTCACATACTCCGAACGAACTTGTTTCTAACTCTCTGTTCAGTGACAAAAAAACAGAACAAACCTTTTGAACGTTCCATATAATAGATGAAAACAAGCACCACTGGGTTTTTCTTTAGCAGAAATGCACACAATATTCTCTTATTTTGAGAACCTTTGCTCTAGAGTTTTGCTCAAATTTCACAGTCATATGCAACATGTTTTTTTAAAATGAATGTCTTCAGAAACAGAAAGGCATCCCATCTGCAGTTGCAGAGGCCAAAATAAACTGATTTGAGGCCAAAATGTAAGTTGATATGATTAGGATAACCTGGGCATCACAGCACGCACCTGACTGTTTCCCAGCAGCTTTCGAATGGTCTTGTTTATAATGGCACTGTAGAACGTTTCTTGCTTCTTGACCAGGGGCGCATAGACCACAACTTCACGTTTGGGAGGAACTTCTAGAGCGATATCCAATTTCAGTCGTCTCAGCAAGAAAGGGGTCAAAATCTAGAGTTGAAAAAAGTTTCAGATATGAAAGTTTCCAACAACTCAAGCTTAAATAATAGAACGCTGCTGGCTCGAAAGGGAAATGCAACAATATACAAAGACGGGGTTTCTGCACACTGTGCAGTGTTATGCTTGTTTGTCCGATAATGGCATTGGTCAGATCCCTTATATATGACGCATAATACTCAAAAAGCTTCTTTAAAAGGCACAGCACTTCTGGTTTTGATAAATACAGGACACAAGTTTAACCGTATGCTAAATCTCCCTTGGTAAAGTGAAGCACTCCTCTGTATTCACCATTATAATAACAGCCCACACAACGCAACTTAAGTATTTTTAGCCTATGAAGGGAAAGAAAACAGGGGAAAGATGACTATTTTCAAAGGGTATCATGTCCTGCACTGCACTATGAAGTATGTATTATGTGTAGCTGCAGGAAAAGGTTGTACTTGTACCCCGGTACGCTCTTACATCCCATGGAGCCCAGTAGACGTGATCAACACTGAATAAAAGCAAAGACTCGCAAGGAACTTTTAATAATAATAATAATAATAAATACCCCGCCTAATAAATACAGCATTAAATATTAAAAACTTCCCTAAACAGGGCTGCTTTCAGATGTCTTTTAAAAAGAAGATAGCTGCTTATTTCCTTCACATCTGAAGGGAGGGCATTCCACAGGGCGGGCGCCACTACCAAGAAGGCCCTCTGTCTGGTTCCCTGTAACCTCACTTCTCGCAATGAGGGAACCGCCAGAAGGCCCTCGGCGCTGGATCTCAGTGTCCGGGCAGAACGATGGGGGTGGAGACGCTCCTTCAGGTATACAGGACCGAGGCCGTTTAGGGCTTTAAAGGTCAGCATCAACACTTTGAATTGTGCTCGGAAATGTACTGGGAGCCAATGCAGATCTCTCAGGACCGGTGTTATGTGGTCCCGGCAGCCACTCCCAGTCACCAGTCTAGCTGCTGCGTTCTGGATTAATTGCAGTTTCCGGGTCACCTTCAAAGGTAGCCCCACGTAGAGCGCATTGCAGTAGTCCAAGCGGGAGATAACCAGAGCATGCACCACTCTGGCGAGACAGTCCGCAGGCAGGTAGGGTCTCAGCCTGCGTACCAGATGGAGCTGGTAGACAGCCGCCCTGGACACAGAATTAACCTGCGCCTCCATGGACAGCTGTGAGTCCAAAATTACTCCCAGGCTGCACACCTGGTTCCCAACCCCCAGTCCATGGGCCGCTTCCATCCTGCCCCCAGGCTCCCAAAATTTGTATACATATTTAGGCACACATAAGGTTAAGGCAAAATAAAGATGCAATACAGTGGTGCCCCGCAAGACGAATGCCTCGCAAGACAGAAAACCCGCTAGACGAAAGGGTTTTCCGTTTTCAATGCGCTTCGCAGGACGAATTTCCCTATGGGCTTGCTTCGCAAGACGAAAATGTCTTGCGAGCCTTGAGATTTTTTTTTCGCTCCCCCCCCCCTTTTTCTAAGCCGCTAAGCCTTTAATAGCCGCTAATCCGCTAATAGGGTTGCTTCGCAAGACGAAAAAACCGGTACACGAAGACACTCGCGGAACGGATTAATTTCGTCTTGCGAGGCACCACTGTACAAGCACACACCAAAAATTAGTACAACTGTAAAAATTTACCATTAAAGCCAAGCGTTTTAGAAAATTTAATACTCGTAGTGTCCAAAAGGAATCAAAAGTCAGTACCAGCTGAATCTGTTTAGTGAGGCTAGTCCAAAGTTGAGGCCCAACAAAGACTAACAGTTATAGTGGCATTTGGTTTTGAATTTGTGTGCGTCATAAGAAGTTTGTCAAAGATGCCACAAGATGTTTTTGCTTCAAGAGACCAACAAGGCTACTATTCAGATGATTCGCTCACTTTAAGCAATCGGAACAGACCTGATGCAGCATATGCAAGATGTTCTGTTCTCTTTCCTTAGCAACAATGTCTTCCGCTATTTCCGATATACTAGTGATGTCAAACCAGGACTCAAAGCTGTGGTGAAGGAAACAAAAGTGGGAGACAAATTTAAGAACTGGTGAGATGTGCAGGTGGGTTCTGGGCTGAAGAAAGCAAAGGCCTGTATAGATTATCCAAATTTGAACGTATTTGCTGCTGCCTTAATTTACTCGGCTTGTTAAGGGAGGTAAAAAGAAGAATGCAGAGAGCTGAAACTACTCAATCCTCACCCCTTCCTTGAAATAAAAGCTTCCACACCTCTTAAAATCTAGAAATTTGATAAGCAAGGCACTGAATTCAACACCGAAAATTAAATCCCCTGCAAGTGCAATAATATATCCTTCCGTAAGAAAATCCACTACACACCCAAATCCCTGCATGTAGCATTAACCAGAGTTTCAGGGGATTTCAGGTACATTTCCTGAAAACCTATGTGAAACAAAACCTGCAATTACTGGATAAAATATTAGCTTAACGTTCCACGTTTAAAAAACTAAACCTGTATAATAAGGTCATTTCAGGATAAGTTTATACTGTGCTCCCAAATCTCTGAATGCCTGGACCTGCAGAATTTGTTTATTTTAGGGAGCTGGACAAATAAAGCACTGAAACAGGGAAGCAGGCTAGTTTTTCCGCAAGAAATTAAAACAGAACTTCACATCTAAAGTCCTATAAATACCAGAAAGTCTGCCTGTCTTTAAATGAAAGCTCGGGATCTGCGAATTATGGTTCATCAAGGGAATGTCTTCGCAGGAGTGAACTACCAAAAGGGGGCTGTCTCTGCCAATATCTGCACCCGACAGGGTCTGTAGGGAAGGGGGCAGAATTTCAGGCATTTGGGACTTGGGCTCTTTATGGCTTTGAATGCTAAATTGGGCCTAAAAACCAACTGGCAACCAGGGCAGCTGTTTTAAAAGGGGGGGAGGGCGCATGAGAATCCCAGCCAGTAATCTGCCAGCTGCATTTTGGACAAAATGAAGTTACTGATTAGTCTTCAAGGACAGCCCATCAACTATTCCACAGAAGGGTGGAAAGGGAAAGTCAGGATACTTTGCCATGTGACAAACTGCCATTGTGCTTTGGAGCTAAACAGGGCCAAAAATGGAAGGGGCTTCTTTTTACAGAAAGTGCCTCTTAACATAACCCCGTCTGCTGGAAAGAGCGGTGGGAGCAATTTATATAAGAACAGCCTGCTTTGCTGAAGATATTTATTTCTTTTCAGGTATTAGAAGTTTGTCTGGGATTGTCGGCCATTTACCAAACTTCAGACATTTGCTATATCATATTTTAACACGGGGGGGGGGGGGGATTCACTGCCTACCTTTTCAAGTCATCAAACACATCAGGAAGCAGAAAATTAAGCAGGGACCAAAGCTCGGATAAGTTGTTTTGCAAGGGAGTTCCAGTTAGCAGAAGTTTATTGTCGGTGCGAAACTGTTTTAATTCCCGTATAAGGCGGCAATTCATATTCTTAATCCTGTGTCCTTCATCCACTATCAAGTATTTCCAGTACAAGTTCTGGAGAAGAGAAGTCACTGGTTACCTCAAAAAAACCACAACCATCCATCCATATGCCCTTCTTTTCCACCAAAAGCTAATATATGTCAAACAGGGCTTATAACCTTTCATCATCATTGTCTCTTACTGTGTGTATTTTAAGAGACAATTCCCCTCCAACGGAAGCGGAAATTCAAAATTTCCAACAAGCAAAGAAAAAAAACATACTTTTAAAAACATATTTTCATATGTGTCAATCTGTTCATTGCACAGGTTCCCCCCCAAAAAAAGAAAAAAAAGAAAAAAGGATTGTGTCTGGATTAGTTAGCTGTGAAATTTTGGTAATTTGCCATAGCACTTATATTGCTTTATTCTGTTTTCTAAAAGAGCAGTTTCCAGAAAATCATAAGACTCATTACTTAAAACGTAATTTAACACGTTATAATACTAATAGAGACAGCCATTATTATTATATATTTATACCCCCCCACTCCCTCTGACAGGGACTCAAGGCGGATTACAGATTAAAATCAGAACAAATAAAAACAGTGCTTTCCCCCCTATCATTAACAAAGAATTAAAAATTAATAGGATAAAATATTTAAGTTCTATTAAAAGCATACATATAATTGCAATAAAACCAGCATAGCACCAACCCTTTCATTAAAAGCATTCAGTTCCCATAAGCCTATTGGACCAAAGCTTTCACCTGCCGGCAGAAAGACAACAAGGAGGGAGCCAGTCTAGCTTCTCCAGGGAGGAAGTCCAACGTAATCTAGGAGGAGCCACCACTAAGTAGACCCTCTTCCACATCCCTACCAAGTACACTTGTGAGGGTGGGGTGACAAAGAAAAAGGCTTCCCCCCGAAGAACTCAGAACCTGGTCTTTCACTATAAATAGTTGCTGTAAATTTAAACTTTGTCCTCAGTGCGTCTGTAGTTTATATGCAGCAGTGCTGCACTGATTACCACAGGTAGCAACACAACTCATCATTCGCCATACGTGCTGTTTGATTAGTAGCTTTGGACGCGGGTGGCACTGTGGTCTAAACCACTGAGCCTAGGGCTTGACGACCAGAAGGTTGACGGTTTGAATCCCCGCGACGGGGTGAGCTCCCATTGCTCGGTCCCTGCTCCTGCCAACCTAGCAGTTCGAAAGCACGTCAAAGTGCAAGTAGATGAATAGGTACCGCTCCAGTGGGAAGGTAAATGGCGTTTCCGTGCGCTGCTCTAGTTCGCCAGAAGCGGCTTAGTCATGCTGGCCACATGACCCGGAAGCTATACGCCAGCTCCCTTGGCCAATAGAGCGAGATGAGGGCTGCAACCCCAGAGTCGTCCGCGACTAGACTTAACGGTCAGGGATCCTCTACCTTTACTTTTTTTTTACAATGGTACAATGATGCCATTTTATTCTGTTCACCTTCCACAAGACTGATAACTCTGAGCCTTCAACACTTAATGACCCCTCCTAATTCACACGTAGCATCAGCTGAGGTTCTGTCAGGGACCAGGAGTGACCATACTTATGGAATAGCATTTTTGTACGCACCTGAAGGGCATTTCTGTCTCTCATAGCTATTTCAAAAGAAGTAATGACCACAGGATGGACATTCAGAGAACCATCTCTCTTTCGGATTTTATGAACCAACGAACGCCGTTCTTGCTGGGTCCCGTGATACAGCATTATAGGAACCTAAAAATATTTTTTTAAAAACAAAAGTGTCAACCAAATCCTATGTAGACCCCATGGGTACAGTATTAAAATGCCATTAATTCCCCCAACACTTCCGCCGTATCCAAAGTTCAGGATGTGAATGTAATTTGCTTATGTAGCCAACCCCCCCCCCCGAAAAAAAACCCATTTATGCATGAGGGAGGTATCAGCAAGCTGAGAGGAATCCTGAGGTTTACAGAAACAAACAAGAAAAACCCTTAAGGGGAACTCCCAACACGATTTCCCCAAAACAGCTCAGGAGAACCCGGAAGTAAGATTTATTTAGGCATTCTCTCTATATGTTTGGGAAACAGGATTAAAGCAACAACCATCAGTACCAATTATAATAAGGTTAACGTCTTCAACAATAGCAAATAAAAGCAGGTAACACAGAGCAAGAAATACAGAAGGCGATGCTTCGGTAAGATGGTACCTATCACCTACAGTTTTTAAGTACAGTGGTACCTTGTGTTAAGTACTTAATTCATTCCAGAGGTCTGTTCTTAACCTGAAACTGTTCTTAACCTGAAGTACCACTTTAGCTAATGGGGCCTCCTGCTGCCGCCGCAGCACGATTACTGTTCTCATCCTGAAGCAAAGTTCTTAACCCGAGGTACTATTTCTGGGTTAGCAGAGTCTGTAACCTGAAGCGAATGTAACCCAAGGTACCACTGTATTTTTAAAAGCCAGCATTTTCAGAGTGCTGTCCAATCAGTGGGATATTTTAGTCAGTCTTTTAGTTTAACTAATTTGACTAAATGTTACGGTCCTCTTCTCCGTCTCCAACACCTCCTCTGTTGCCCCTCACATCCTCATTAACAAATAAGACGTTTAAAGCCCTTAAGACAGGGGTGCCCAAACATTTTTCAAAGAGGGCCAGATTTGATGGAAGTGAACATGCGTTTTAATTTTTTTCAGGATCAAAGTTATTGACCTTTTTTTTAAGAATTTGACAGCAATAAATGAACTGCCACAGGGGCCTGATATAACTGGCTAGAGGGCCAAATTGGGTCCTAAAGCAGACTTTGGATATGCCTGCCCTTAAGAACTAGCACAAAATAATTTATTAAGATCTTGAAAAAACTGCTGGTCTGTGACTGCAATACACTAGTTGGATTGGAAGATCTTGAAATGAATGGACCTTGTTCCAAGACTGTCGTTTGAAGCAAACCACCAACAGCCAGAAACAAACGTCGGTACATATACCCAGTTCTTATCCCATCATTGCAACTGCTTGGCAAAGCATACAGACCAATTCCAGAAGCCTTGGAAGTGGCTAAAAGTTCCCCCGGGAATCACAGAATTGTAGAGTTGGAAGGTGCCTCAAGTGTCATCTAGTCCAACCCCCCCCCCCCCCCGCAATGCAGGATGTGGTCCTCTCATAAAAAAGAGTTTTGTTCCATTACTTTAAAAGTCATTTTTACCTTAGGAGTAAACCTTCTGAATTCTGCCATCCAGTTAGGAAGCGTGGACAGGGGCCCACATACCAGAAATGGCCCAGTGACCCCTCTCTCTATCATCAATGCTATTGTTGCGATACATTGGATTGTCTTTCCTAAGCCCATTTCATCAGCCAAAATGCCATTGATGCCATTCTCCCAGAGCATCTGCATACAAGAGAGAGAGAAAAACATTTTCTTTACACCCGATTAATGGATATCATTGAAATTTGACTTGCCCAACATTTACAATCCAGTTAATGTTCTTTCACAAGTGTAGCCTATTGTTTTCAAGAATTACTTAATATTGGTAACAGTGATTATTGGACTGAGCTTCCAATGTACAGGCAAACCATGCTTTAGAGCTGCTTAGCTGCTTTCAGTTTCCATTTACTCACTATCCAAGTCTCTAGAAGCGGCATCCGCCGGAAATGGAACAGCCGCCATTACTGTTAAGTCAGGAACTACCATCAAACCTCAGTTAAAAGCTTCTTAGGCATCGTGGGGAATGGTGCATGAATTGTGGTCAAGTTAGGGGCGGATTTAGGGCGGTGTATTGATGCTTTTGTATTATGGTGCTGGAGGAGACTCTTGAGAGTCCCATGGACTGCAAGAAGATCAAACCTATCCACTCTCAAGGAAGTCAGCCCTGAGTGCTCACTGGAAGGACAGGTCCTGAAGCTGAGACTCCAATACTTTGGCCACCTCATGAGAAGAGAAGACTTCCTGGAAAAGACCCTGATGTTGGGAAAGATGGAGGGCACAAGGAGAAGGGGATGACAGAGGACGAGATGGTTGGACAGTGTTCTCGAAGCTACGAACATGAGTTTGACCAAACTGTGGGAAGACAGGAGTGCCTGGCGTGCTCTGGTCCATGGGGTCACGAAGAGTCGGACACGACTAAACAACCAAGAGCATTGTGCACACTCTGGGTCCTAGAATCCTCTCTCCTCCTTGCCAAAGCCTAGTTAGTGCTTTCACAGTTTCGGTTCCCCAAATGTAATGTTTGAGATCAGTATCACAAGTACTTGCTAATTTAAAGCGACTGCACCAAAGATCTAGCCAACTGGAAACATGGCTTCTTTTACTCTTCTATAACACAACGATTAAGTTTTTGAGTCGAGTTAAATCCTTACCCTAAGCCATTCCATGCCTTCAACTTGGTACCACCTCATTATCCCTCCAGTGAAGAGCTTGGGTTGCTGAAAGGGCACAGGCTGCCCGTTAAATTTCCGTACTGGGTCGACGAACTGCTTGGCAGTGTTACGCACCGCCTGTGCCAGTCTGTCCTTGATGATGCTATTTGAGTCCCCGTTATTCTGGAGTTCTTCTGTACACAGTTTTGGAGGAGAGCTTTCATTCTGCAGAAAGACGTTGATAGACAAATATTTCACAAACTTACTACGAATTTATAAATAAAGGCAAAATACAAACACCATCAAACATTATGATACAAAATGGGAGGAGGAAAACTAAAACGGATAAAGAAAAGGGAATAGGCATGAATTCATGTGCTGCTTCTTTTATCATCACAACCCAAGTCATCAAAACGTCACTTTATCCAAATCTTCTAAAATATATCCTCTCCACAAACTTAATTGAACCATTGGAAGGGGGGAGTTTCTATGTTCCTTTCTCTGTTGTACTGACATGTCTTTAGACCAAATAGCTTAAAAATAATCCAATTTAGATTCTCCTCTAGTTACTTTTCTTTGATATGTAATAAATCCATCTTCACAGTTGTTAAAGGAAATTTCAGAAACAAGCAAAAGGCTGCTGTGCCATGCTCATTTATGTACCGAAACATGAGGCGCTGATACGAAACGTGTAACTCCAAGGCAATCAGTATTTACAAACAAGATTTAAGCAAAGCTGATATACCTGATCTTCAACTCTGCTTTTCTTTGCAGCTGACAAGATTTCCTACCAAAAAAAAGAGAGAGTACAACAATGAAATCATTTGTTGACAACTTAAAATGAACTTCTCAACATAAAATTCCACAGTGCACTAACAAAAAAGGATATTAAAAGGCCAAATGGGAGGAAATGAAGGGCACACACATTTAACACAACATGAATATAATTCACACATGCCATCCATATACAGTATAATATATAGAAGCATTGCTGAGCATGCTAATGCACATCTAAAATATTTACTCCATGCGAGCACTCACGATGCCAGATAGCAAAAAATCAGAAAGAATGTGGGTGTTCATCACTCACCACATCCAGCCAATACTTTTGTCACAGTGTTTGTCTTCCTATGGGACACTGTGCCCCTAACCTAGATCATGGAAGCAAAATTTCATTAAGCCTTAGCTAAAATCTGGGGAGGGGAGGAGTGCATTGTTATTTTTACTAAATTTATATGGTCCTGGGCAGCCTACAAATCCGAGTAAAAATGACTATTAAAATCCAAACTTTTTTTTAAAAAAAAAACAACCACACATGAAAATGCAGCACAAAAGTCTCCTTTCTGGCAGATGAAACAATTAATCAGCAGCTTCGTTTGCAAAACCTGTTTGTTTGGAACACTAAAAAAGACACTGATAAGAAGGACTTCTGCCTCCCTTCACTTGGCAGGGGTGCACACAGGAAGACCTCTGAAGAGGCTGAGAAATACGCCTGTGCAATGACATGAAAGTGGGACTAACTTCATCCCTGTGGAACAGGTAGAACATGGGTAGGCAAACTAAGGCCCTGGGGCCAGATCTGGCCCAATCGCCTTCTAAATCCAGCCCGCGGACGGTCTGGGAATCAGCGTGTTTTTACATGAGTAGAATGTGTCCTTTTATTTAAAATCCATCTCTGGGTTATTTGTGGGGCCTGCCTGGTGTTTTTACATGGGTAGAATGTGTCCTTTTATTTAAAATGCATCTCTGGGTTATTTGTGGGGCCTGCCTGGTGTTTTTACATGAGTAGAATGTGTCCTTTTATTTAAAATGCATCTCTGGGTTATTTGTGGGGCCTGCCTGGTGTTTTTACATGGGTAGAATGTGTCCTTTTATTTAAAATGCATCTCTGGGTTATTTGTGGGGCATAGGTATTCACTCATTTTTTCCCCTTCAAAATAGTCCGGCCCCCCACAAGGTCTGAGGGACAGCCGACTGGCCTCCTGCTGAAAAAGTTTGCTGACCCCTGAGGTCGAAGGACAACAAGACAATCGTAACGCCCCCCCCCCCCCCCGAGTCCAGGAACACCAGACAAAGCAGACTGCAAATATGGAACAGAGATTCTAAACCTCCAATGAGAAGGGCTTGTGCCTGTTTGGAAGAGGAAGAGGAAGAAGAAGAGGAGGAGGAGGAGGAGGAGGAGTTTGGATTTGATATCCTGCTTTATCGCTACCCGAAGGAGTCTCAAAGCGGCTAACATTCTCCTTTCCCTTCCTCCCCCACAACAAACACTCTGTGAGGTGAGTGGGGCTGAGAGACTTCAGAGAAGTGGGACTGGCCCAAGGTCACCCAGCAGCTGCATGTGGAGGAGCGGGGACGCGAACCCGGTTCACCAGACTACGAGTCCACCGCTCTCAACCACTACACCACACTGGCTTTAGAAGGCCTAAAGCAGAGCTCTCCAAACATGACACACTTCTTAGACACGGTGATTCAGTTTTATTAGCAAACCAGAGGTTAAACTAAACCCTTTCCAGCCCTGGGAGGCGTGTGGAGAACACTTGCATGACATATCCACAGACTGCAGCTGACACACTGGTTTGTCATGACACACAGATTGGAAAGCTCTGGCCTAAAGCGCTCTGAACCCTGTCTTTCCAAGTGCTCTCAGAAATACAAACAGTGGAAGAGAACAGCATGCAGAGCTAAGTACCATCGGTTTTCTTGTGCCGTCTGAAGCAGTTATTGCTGCTGCCAGTGCGGTTACAGCTACTGGAACGACATCTCCTGATAAGCAGAGTGTTTCGAAGGGTTCAGAAAAACCTGTTCTGCAAGTGAAGCCATCTGCCAGTGGCCAGCGAGGGCAGGTGCAAGAAGACTAATGAGAAGAATGACGTACCATCAGCGCTCCTGTACCCCAAACTCCGTAGCGATCCTACCGTTTTATATAGGGCAATTTTTTTCTGTTCCATCCTGTCTTCCAAATGCTTGATTGCACTTAGAGACTAACCTCCCCTCTGTTGAATTACAGATTTGGCGCACGACATTTAATTATTGGCTTCGCCTAAATATAAACCCCACTGGTCTACTACCCTTAGTATTGCCAGGTTGTCATGAGAGCGCTTGGGACTAAAATTGTCAACCAAAAGCTTTACTTTTCTGGTTTATCACCACAACAGTTACTAACACTGGGCTTCAGTAAAGCAAATAATTTAACTAGACAGCGCCTATTATGATATCGAGTGACAGAATTATCTGGCCACAATAAGGAAATTTTGCCCATGGTATGATTATTTTCTACCTAGTCATTTGAGGAATTTAACAATTCCAAAATACAGATGCGCTTTCATTTTCGCAAGACTGAATACCGCATTTTTCGCTCTATAACACGCTCCCAACCATAACACGCACATAGTTTTTAGAGGAGGAAAACAAGAAAAAAAAATTCTAAACGAAACAGTGGATGTATGATTTTTGTGGTTCATGCTGTGGCCACAGACATGTGATCTGACGGTGAGTTTGGGATAGCCCAATGCAAAAATCCTGAGGATCCATGTGGATCCATGCTTTGTAACCACGTGAATGAAGGAACTGTCAGTAATGTATGGTATCTCCAATACAGTGATGAAGGAAGAGAGAGGGGGAACTCACATTTGTGCAGCTGCCTTGCCTCGAACCGGAGCAAAAAGAGGAGGAGGAGACTCAGGGACACGAGCCTTGTAAGCCGCTTTGTTTGAATTTACCGGTGAGGTGCTGGGGGAGGGACGGAAGGGGATGCCCTCTTTGTCCCTCCTTCCAGCTCATTGTAAAGAAAGCAGAGTAAGAGCCGCTTACATTTGTGTAAGGGAGAGCCATAAAGCAGGCAGACACTGAGAAAGAGAGGCTGTCTCCCTTTCCCCACCTTGGCTTTTACACGCTGCGCGCAGCTCTTGCCGGCTTCCGAGCGCCCACCTCGCCAAAAAGCCATAGAGCAGGCAGACAGGAGAAAGAGAGGCTGTCTCCCGACACTCAGCTGTTGATCAGCTGTTGCCGGCTTCTCAGCAAGCCAAGCGGAGGAAGAGAGGCTGCCGAACAGCCAGCAAGAGTGGCTCCTCCTGCCTGCATTCGCTCCATAACGTGCAGACACATTTCCCTTTACCTTTTAGGGGGGAAAAACTGAGTGTTATGGTGCAAAAAGTACGGTATATTGCCTTTGGCTGTACTTGAGGGTCGATTTCAAAAAATTCCACTGGGAAAACGGTTATGGCCTTGCGGAGATGGCAGTATTGAGCCCGTGGTTCATGTGCTTCTGGCTTGCACTCTTTATAAAGATTTGAGGAGTGAGGTTATTACCCCTCTGTTATTCTCCATGTTGAGTTGCTAAACCATTCCTACTATGTCCTTTCTTTTAGCAGATCAAGATGATTAGGTGACAGCAAAAACTGCAAGGTTTTTAGTGGGGGCACTTAGAACAAGATCTGATTATTGATGTAAACCTCCAAAATATATTTTGTATAGTTAAGTTTTTACCTCTATCTTCAGTACATTTTTATTTTATTGCTATGGCTAGTGGCTAATGCTAGTGGAATGCTTTGCCACAAGAGACCAGGGCCCTGCGGGATCTGACATCTTTCCACAGGGCCTGCAAGACGGAGCTTTTCCGCCAGGCCTTTGGTGGGGGTCCATTCTGACTCCCCCTCTCTCCTTATAAGAACTTGTATGAAAGTGGCCCCCCAACTTTTCTCACAGGCTCATATAAGATCAGTGCAAACAGTTAGGCCGGTGAGCATTTAAGGTCCACAACCCTAATCTGTGGGTTGCCATCCGATTGGATTTCACTTTGATTCTGATTTGATCTTAGGATGTATTTTAATCGATTGCCTGATTTTATGTTAATATATCATCACCATCAATCTTTATCACGGTCCAGAGACCCAACAAATCATTACAAAGCAATACACAATTCATCCAGCCTAAAGGTAAAGGTAAAGGTACCCCTGCCCGTACGGGCCAGTCGTGTCCAACTCTGAGGTTGTGTGCCCATCTCGCTTAAGAGGCCGGGGGCCAGCGCTGTCCGGAGACACTTCTGGGTCACGTGGCCAGCGTGACGAAGCTGCTCTGGCGAGCCAGCACCAGCGCAGCACACGGAAACGCTGTTTACCTTCCCGCTATAAAGCGGTACCTATTTATCTACTTGCACTTAGGGGTGCTTTCGAACTGCTAGGTGGGCAGGAGCTGGGACCGAAAGACGGGAGCTCACCCTGCCGCGGGGATTCGAACCGCCGACCATAGGATCGGCAAGTCCTAGGCACTGAGGTTTTACCCACAGCGCCACCCGCGTCCCTTCATATAGCCTACCTCCAGGTTAAACAAGCATTCTGTTCAGAATATAGGGATCATTGGTTCTTGAAACCACCGATAAAAACTTTGCCACTGCTAATGTTCTAGCGTTTGTCCGGTCTTCCAATAGGAACCTGACATAGTGAGCCTCTGATTTTCCCGGGAAAGGTACCAGCAAGGGTAATATCAATTCAGCCCTGGCCTGCTCATATTTTGCACAGTGCAACAAAATATGTTTTATGGAATCGATGTCTTGAGCACACGAACAAAGTCTGTCCTGGTAGGGAACTCCTCTCAACCTGCCATCCAACACTGCAGAAGGAAAGACGTTTAGTCTGGCTTTGGTGAAAAGCCTTCAATAGTTTGGTACTGTCCAGTTTTTAATGTAAGATGTTAACTTACAAGACATGCCCATATTGTACTCCTACTGCCAGCGGACTACAGACTGCGTGTGATCGAGATCGCAAGTCACTGTGTGCATTATCCCATAATCTTTGCTTTAATGTCTTTAGGGTGCCTTCATAACCTAGGTAATACAGTTGGGGGGGTGACTGTTAATATATATTTGATGTTAGCCGCTCTGAGCCTGGTCTTGGCCGGGATATAAATAAAATTTATTATCATCATCATCATCATTACTCCTCCTCCTCCATCTCTCATATCCACTTTTCTCTCTCTGCTTAGCTAAAGTTGCTCCAAGACACAGGGAGTAGCAAGGGAGGCCTTGACAGGGTTAAGGAGGCATGCCCAGGCTGCTCATAGCTTCAACATCCTGTTGCGCTGCCTGGGAACATGCCCATGCATGCAGGTAGGAAGGAAGAAACAAAATAGCATTTTAGGCTCCCTCCAGGTACAGACACCACCTCTTGAGGCAAGCAGATCAAATCCCAGTTATGCCTGTATTTTAAGAATGCCAGCTCTTCTACCCAAATCAGAATGCACCAGGAGCAGTACCTTGTATTAAAATAAATGGTGATATCCACTGAAAACCTTTTCTGTTCTCCTTGATAACATGGATTCCCCTTTCAACTCACTGTGCCGTTAAAACAGATATTGTAAAGATGCTACCTAACTGAAAATTCAGAGTTGTTTACCGGGCAGACTTGCATCAGGAAAAATCTCCACACAGCCATGAAAATCACTCAATAACCTTGGTGCACTTTCACCCTAGCTATTTACCTCTTTCGATATGACTTCCGAAATACTGTAGGTTTCGTCTTCTCTGGCTCTCTTCTTTTTTGCAGCTGCAACAAAGTATTGGACAGGAATCAGCAGCTGAACTTTTAACAGCAAAAACACAACAGGTTTTTTTTAAAAGAATGTGGTAAGTCTTACCCAATTTTCCTTCTCTTCCATCATTTTCATTCTGAAGCAAAGCATTTAGGACAAAACCATTAACAAGCTTATATTTTATATAAGACTTCATAATCATCATCATCATCATCATCAGCTCACTACAAGTGTATTGCACTATGGTCAGAAACTAGAGAACATACCAGCAATTGCAACAGAACTTTATGTACACACAAGGGTCTCTCTTTAATATAAATGTTTTAAAACAAATACTGCTTCGCTGTATCAAACAGTATTTGACCTTTTTAAAAAAATAAAATGCAAACAAAATTAAAAACCTAGCGTAGGGCAAATTAGTATCAACCCACTAATTTTAATGGGTCTACTCTTGTGCATGACCAATGCTGGATAGCCAAAGGGTTTCAGAAATACTTTTTTCTCAAGTCAGCCCCACACAGAACATAACTAGAAGTCTTCAGGTAGCGGAGTCTCTATCTTCCAGCAGATGTTTTAGCCAACCGAAGCTGTTAAGAAGCAGTTCAGCTACAGCAACAAGCTTCAAAACCAGGAACACAGTTAGGAAAAGCAGTACCCACAGGATATGGACTCCTCCAGCGGTTCTTCCAAACAGGGTCAAATTACCCATTTTCCACCTGGGTAACCAAGGCACTCTTATCTCCTTCAACCAGGGACTTAACTTTCTCCCACTATCACCCAAGAAACCTTTCCCTAAAGAAAAGAATTTCCCTAAAGAAAATTATTTTACCTTTGTAGTGTTTGGTGATGCTTTCTTCTTTTCTAGCTTTTCTTTCTTTCTTTGCTCCTTAAAGAAAGAAAAAGAATACACGTTTCTATCCACCAAATCTCTCAAGCATTTTAAAGCATTGCGAAAAATACCGCAACAGATTTAAATGTCCAATGCAGCCTAAGAACAAGGTTGAAAGCACACATCAGTTTACCAATCTTATTAACAGCAAGTAAAAAGACTCTAAACTCCTCAATAACGGGCATTTTATGTTGACATGTTTATATCCAGGGTCCAGATCTGAAAGTTGCCACCAAGTTAAGGAAATATTCCACTTGCCACCCAATGGCTGTGAAACATCTATTCTGCCAGTAAGGGTTTGTTTCCTTTTATTTCTTTACACTAAGAGGCAAGCATGTTTTACGCCTCAACCACTACTGTGGCATTTTGAGACAGTGCATCTACATTCTATATTCTGTAAATACTGGAGGAAATAGTGCAGGCAGGTGGGTATCTGAAAGAAGGGAATGTTTGGGCAGCAAAACGAACTTAACATATTTAAATGTGATACTGGGAAACAAACCATTCTATCTCCATTCTTAAAATGACCTTATAGCAGACTTGTTAAAAGCTTAAAGGTAAAGGTAAAGGGACCCCTGACCATTAGGTCCAGTCGTGGCCGACTCTGGGGTTGCGGCGCTCATCTCGCTTTATTGGCCGAGGGAGCCGGCGTACAGCTTCCGGGTCATGTGGCCAGCATGACTAAGCCGCTTCTGGCAAACCAGAGCAGCGCACAGAAACACCGTTTACCTTCCTGCCGGAGCAGTACCTATTTATCTACTTGCACTTTGATGTGCTTTTGAACTGCTAGGTTGGCAGGAGCAGGGACCGAGCAACGGGAGCTCATCCCGCCGCGGGGATTCAAACTGCCAACCTTCTGATCGGCAAGCCCGAGGCTCTGTGGTTGAACCCACAGTGCCACCCGCATTCCTTAAAAGCTTAAAACAACACTCTAAATCTACCCTGCTTCATGTACTGTTTTGTAACTTTCAGAGCCAGTGTTAAATGAATGCTGTTGAAATTATGCATAAGAATTGAACTTTCAAGAGTCTACACAAGTAAAAAAGGAGACCAAATATAGAAATAGCTTCATTTTTATTATGATGAATGCTGAGTGTCCTAAGTGTTACGGATACCTCTCAATGGCTGTGCTAAGATGTCCTGAGAACTGTATCAACGCCCGAGTTCTAAACTTTGGTAAATATTAACCATGGTTTGCTGCAACAAGCCAGCTCCATAACCCATTGTTTGAAGGCTTGTTTCAAACAAACAATATTTAAAACTAAATATTGTTCAATTCAGAAAAAACAAACTGTGGCCAATCATAAATGCAACTGAAAGGTTCTCAACCCTTCTTTACAGCCAGAGGGGAAGGCATGTGAACCTGAGGCTCACATCAGCGTACTTTTTTAATGTACTTTATCAGACACACAAATCTAATTTCTTCACTTCCAACTTTAGAGGACACTTACCTCCAGCTGCTGCTGTTCCATTTTGGTCAGCAAGAACTTCGAGTAGATGTTGCTTTTCTCAAGCAAGTGTTGAAGCCTCTTGTAGCGCATTTCAGTTGAGTCTCTGTCCCAGGACATGCGAGCCTAGGAGACAAACAAGAAGCCATTATCAGCAGTAACTCAGTGTGGTATTATTGCAGCCATTAAAATGCACAGCACATTGTCAATAGAAAGAGAAACCAATATTAAACCGAGGTCACTCAACTCTTCTTTAGCTTTCCACAAGAAGTATTGGAAATAATAATAATTTATTATTTGTACCCCGCCCATCTGGCTGGGTTTCCCCAGCCACTCTGGGCGGCTTCCAACAAAACACTAAAATAGAATAACCTATTAAACATTAAAAGCTTCCCTAAACAGGGCTGCCTTTAGATGTCTTCTAAAAGTCTGGTAGTTATTTTTCTCTTTGACATCTGGTAGGAGGGCATTCCACAGGGCGGGCGCCACTACCGAGAAGGCCCTCTGCCTGGTTGTTGTCTTTTATTGCAACCAAATTTTATTTCAAAGAATCTCTGGAGAGTTTGCCCCAAAGAATTTAAATCTGAAATGCGGTATCTTACAATAATTGTACCTAGGTCACAACATCAACCATAGTGCAAGGGTTAATCAACATCACCTTCTGGGACAGCAGTAGTCATGATGGAAGAGCTGCCTCAATCAATTTATGTAGGGCCTTTTTAAAGTTCCAGATTACACTACCCAACATTTCCTTAATCTAAATGATGGAAGCCCTACCAAGTAGGATGCATCTGAACACACGCTTACTAGCCAGACTTCAAATTTAAGGGAAACAGCAAATGCCATACATTTTATTCCCATTCTTTAAAACGTATCCTCTAACCTTGGAGACAAGGGCCCAAGAAGGTAGGGGAACCATCAGAGTAACCTATTTTCTTAAGGAAATAACATAAAATTTGTTTATATTAAGCACTAGACACTTCAGTCAAAAAGGGGGGGGGGTTACAGACTACAGTGGTACCTCGGGTTACAGACGCTTCAGGTTACAGACTCCGCAAACCCAGAAATATTAGCTCGGGTTAAGAACTTTGCTTCAGGATGAGAACAGAAATCGTGCGGCAGTGGCGCAGCGGCAGCAGGAGGCCCCATTAGCTAAAGTGGTGCCTCAGGTTAAGAACAGTTTCAGGTTAAGAACGGACCTCCGGAACGAATTAAGTACTTAACCCAAGGTACCACTGTATTTCCATCATGCAAGTGATAACTAAGGGCATGATTGCCCTTAGTTGGCAATCTGGATGGCCACTGCGGGGGAAACAGATGCCGGATGGGGGAGACAGGCCTTTGGTGTGACCCAGCTCTTCTTGGGTTCTTAAGTGATTAACAGATTATGGGAATTTTTCAACAAGCCAGTACCAGGTAGAAGGGATCTCACTTCAATGCCTACAGCAAATTTTTCAACCTGCAAGATGAAACAAGTATCTATAAATCACCTTGGTTTGGACTGCAGCATTGTCACAAAGCCAGCTGTGACTGCTTTTAATTCTACGCAAGCTATGTTTCTTATTTATTATATAGTTTTATGTCTTGGGTTATTCTGCGAGCTGCTCAGAAGTTTTTTTTTACAAGGAATGGCAGGGCACAAATACTTCAAATAAAAGGATTTCTGGTTATTATTAATAACTGCATACTCCACCCCCCTTAAACCCAAACTCTCCTTGGAGAACTTGCAGCAAACGCACTTTACCTTCTCCATTATCTGCCTCTCTTCCTCTATTCCTTCTGCCTCAAGCTGCTTCTCCTCCTGCAACATCGCTGCTGTGATTTCGGTGGCTCCAACTTCTGCACCCATGTCTTCCTGCAGGTGTCCTAAAGAAAAACACAAGACAAGCATGACTAGGAAACCGCTAACATGGTCTAGGGCACCTGGGCAAAAATAAAAGTAGGCCAGGGAGAGGGGGCAGCATATATTCACTCACACACACACACACACACACACACACAGTATCTGTTGCTTCTTATTATGTGTTTCACACACACCCCGCCGCATATATAAAACACAGTACTTGTTGGTTCTAGCTCCTGAATCCTCTATCTTAAAAGACTTCCAAACCCTTTGCCACCATCTCTTTCCCGAATTCTTCCATCGTCCCCCCCTTGTTGTCTCTTCGTAATATAGCGTTCATCAAGAACAATACAAACAAGTAACGGATACCGGTCACCAGCTACAAAGCGAAATGAGGTGGAAAATAATAGCAGCATGTTAAGTTTTACTTTGGCTTGAGGATCAGTGCTACAAACTTTTCTGTTTGTTTGTTTTTTGGAGGGGGGAGGAAAGCTGCACCCTACTTTGCTAAATTCCGACTTATCCTCATGAAAGAGGTTATAATCCCACCAACACCAGCCCCATATTTTTTTTCACCTCTCTGACTTCCCTCCTCTCGCATACCTATATAGATATTTATATTTAATATAATAGATATTAAATATAAATATATATTCATATAAATAAATATCTATAGATATATATTTATATAGAGAGATGTATATATTTAATATATATATAGGTAATACATTATATTTAATATTATAATACAATACAATACAATACAATACAATATAATATAATATGATATATTTAGATATATAGATATATTTAGATATAGATTTATATATTATATATATAATCATATATAGTTATATATATCTATAGATATACATAGAGAGCTCCTCCAGGCTTCCAAAGCTACCATCCAGCCAAAGCGATGGCGGCGTGCAAAGAACAATAAATAGAAAAAATAAGGGCGCTTATTATTTTTGGGGAGGGGAGCGCACTCTGCACATGCTCTAGGGCAACCTTGGGGGAGGTAGCCTCGCCTGCACAATAAGCGATAAAAAGAAGGGCGCTGCTGCTGGGATTTCCTTCCCGGGCTTTCTGCGGGCGAGGCGGAGAGAGAGCACCAGCGCTCTGCACATGCTCGGGAGACCCCTTAGCCCACAATAAACACCCCTTCCCCCCCCCGGACCCTGAGGAGGCAGCCCGGCCTCCCTTGGCGGCTCCCCACCTGCGTGGCTCCCGGACGAGGCTCCGCCGTTCTCCTCCACGGGCATCGCGCCGCCGCTTCTGCCTCGCGCCGGGTTTCGAACGCCTCGCGGAGCTTCCGGCGGAGTGGGTAAAAAAAAAAAAAACCGCGCGCTTTCCAAATATCGCGAGAAGAGGGGAGAAAGCGGCGCCTTCGCGGGAAACTCCCGAGACAACAAATCCCTAGAGAGATAGCAGAGGGAAAAGGGTAGAGGAGACGCGCTGCGGGCTTCTCGAGGGGAGTTGTCGGCTCAGGATAGCCGTGGGGAGTTGGGGGGGGGAGGGACCCCAGGGGTCATCTAGTCCGACCCCCTCGCGAGGCAGGGTTCTGTAGTCCGACGTCGGGAGTCCGAGATTCGGAGTTCCATGCTCTACTACGGGCTGAGCTATTTGCCCCTTTCGCCTGCGTTGTAAGGAAAGGGGAAGGAGTCAGTCCGGAGGCGAAATGGCAGAAACCCAATATATTTCTAACGTAGCTGTTTCAGGGGGAACTGCGTTATGGTTATTGCTACTGTTATTTTTAAACAAATACACACACACACACACACACATATAAAATTGTTTAAAAATTGTGTGTATCTACTGTTATTTTTTAACAATTTATTTGTTTAAAAATAACAGTAGATACACATACACATATATATTGCTTATATATATATATATATAATTGCTATTTTTAAACAAATATATACATATGATTATTGCTAGTTATTTTAAACAATTACTGTTTTGTAACACACACACACACACACACACACACACACACAAAATAATTATTTAAAATAACTAGCAATAATTATGCATATTTGTTTAAAAATAGCGATAATTATATATCTATATATATCTGTGTGTGTGTGTGTGTGTGTTTAAAAATAGCAGCAATAATAATAACACAGTTTCCCCTGAAACGGCTACGTTAGAAATATATTCGGGTTCTCCCTATACTGTGTGTATATATATATATATATATATATATTGTTGTTGTTTAGTCGTGTCCGACTCTTCGTGACCCCATGGACCAGAGCATGCCAGGCACTCCTGTCTTCCACTGCCTCCCACAGTTTGGTCAAACTCATGCTAGTAGCTTCGAGAACACTGTCCAACCATCTCATCCTCTGTCGGCCCCTTCTCCTTGTGCCCTCCATCTTTCCCAACATCAGGGTCTTTTCCAGGGAGTCTTCTCTTCTCATGAGGTGGCCAAAGTATTGGAGCTTCACCTTCAGGATCTGTCCTTCCAGTGAGCACTCAGGGCTGATTTCCTTCAGAATGGAGAGGTTTGATCTTCTTGCAGTCCATGGGACTCTCAAGAGTCTCCTCCAGCACCATAATTCAAAAGCATCAATTCTTCGGCGATCAGCCTTCTTTATGGTCCAGCTCTCACTTCCATATATCACGACTAGGAAAACCATAGCTTTTAACTATACGGACCTTTGTAACAAACACTGGTGGTTATTGGTCGCCAGATACAAAAGCAAAAATTAAAAATAAAATAAAAGCCGCATGTTTAAAGTTAAATACCTGCTTTCAGAGTTTTTGATTTTATTTTATTTTTACACTCAAGCAGGGTATAGGTGGCTTAAAAATAAGACAAGTTAAGGGAAAAAATAAATACCAAATATATGTTTTGATCATAGTGGGGGGGCTCTGTTAAAAACAAGCTGATAACTGCAATAAAAACACGATTAAAAGAGAATATTCAATATTAAAAACACGCAGAGAATTGCAATCGATATAGCACACCCCCAGCCCCTTCACCAGAAGCAGTCAGTTTCCCCAAGCCGGGTGGCATGAGAAGGGTCTTCCGCTGTCAGCAGAAAGGCAGCAAGCAAGGAACCAGCGTAGCTTCCCTAAGCAGGGAGTTCCAAAGTTGTGTGGGAGGAGCCACCACCAATAAGGCCATTTCCCGCGCCCACCCCCAAGCGTACCAGTGAGGGCGCAGGATGGAGAGAAGGGTCTCTTCTGAAGACCTCAGGACATGGGCGAGTTTGGAGGAGGGAATACGATCTTTCCTTATCTCTCTGCACTTCAACCAATGCCAGCAAGAACCATAATGATGTAGAAGCTCTAACCCAGGGGTCAGCAAACTTTTTCAGTGGGGTGCCGGTCCACTGTCCCTCAGACCCTGTGGGGGGCCAGACTATATTTTGGGGGTAAAAATGAATGAATTCCTATGCCCCACAAATAACCCAGAGATGCATTTTTAAATAAAAGGACCCATTCTACTCACGTAAAAACATGCTGATTCCCGGACCAACTGCGGGCCAGACTGAGAAGGCCTTTGGGCCAGATCCGGCCCCTGGACCTTAGTTTGCCTAAAGGTAAAGGACCCCTGACTATTAGGTCCAGTCGTGGCCGACTCTGGGATTGCGGCGCTCATCTCGCTTTATTGGCTGAGGGAGCCGGCGTACAGCTTCTGGGTCATGTGGCCAGCGTGACTAAGCCACTTCTGGCGAACCAGAGCAGCGCACGGAAACGCCGTTTACCTTCCCGCCGGAGCGGTACCTATTTATCTACTTGCACTTTGACGTGCTTTCGAACTGCTAGGTTGACAGGAGCTGGGACCGAGCAACGGGAGCTCACCCCGGCAGTATTCAAACGACCGACCTTCTGATCAGCAAGCCCTAGGCTCTGTGGTTTAACCCACAGCACCACCCGTGTCCCTTTAGTTTGCCTACCCATGCTCTAATGTAGCACCCTGCTTGTGGTTAACGCTTAGCTGGAATGAAATATTCAACGCAGCAATAGAGAAATTAAAAGAATAATTTATTTGTCAGACAAATAAATGAGAGACACAGTGGTATATGGATACCAAAGCTCTGCCCCTCCAGCCCTGATGGCCAGCACTTATATTCCCTCAGCCCAGCCCCCTTGCTCCTCCTTTGGCTGCCTCTGTCCAATCAGCCTGGTTGAAATTCCTATTGGCTGTTTGCTAGAACCAATCACAAAAGATACACCCATTTCCTATTACCTTTTATGGGAGACAAAGAGCTATATTTCCTTCTATCCATAAATGGCAAACAAGTAGCCATATATCTTACATTTGCCTCAACAAGGCACCTTAATTACCAGATCACCTTTGGCCCCTGCTGCCCTATTACCCTATTCACTCCAAAACAGATGGCTAATGGTTCTAATTTTATCTTAAACAGAGATCTTGGGTTCACCTTCTCACACACCATCAATGAAATAAGAATCTAACACAAGAATCTAACATTTCTTACTTTCTAAATCCTTTGCATAATTACATTTAAGCCAATATATTTCATACATAACATAGATAGATTTTTAGAAGGAAAGGTCTTTTCAAAGTAAAAAGGACTCAGTAAAACATCTTCGAAAGCAGCCTCTTTAGTTTACAACTCCTTTTCCTAGCCAGCTGCTGTTTCTATTAGCTTTTGCCCTTTAACCTTAGGAAGATGTGGCTCAAGTTTAATGGGAGGCACAGGGTATTTCTGTTAAACAATAAATCTCACTATTTACCAACTCTTAATTGTGTCTTTGCAGCTTGATTGTATTCTGTAATTTGTATGGTCAGTGTGACCTTTTGCTCCCAGCCTGTAATTCCCTTTTTACAACTTTGAGAATTTTGGCTCCTGCTATAAATAAATCAGGGGGGCCTTTGTCCAGGAGGATAAACATCTGCCAAAGCACCCAGCTGGTTTCTGCCTGGCATGAGAGATACAAACATTTACAAATATATTTTTTAAGCTCATTTTAAAATGCAGGTCTTCATCAGATGCCTCACTAACCTTTGGGTCTCGCCACGTCCCCTTCTCTGCCATCACAGCCTCCAACCCGCCTTCCCTGTGGCTGCTGCCTTGATTCTTAGCACTTAAACCTTACAGGTTAAATGCACTCTGCTGCTGCTCAGAAAGGGATCTGTTGTTGCAGCGGGTTGGACTGGATGACCTTCAGGGTCCCTTCCCACTCCAGGATTCTGTGAAAGAAGTGCACAAACCTTCCTTTGCAGCAACATTGCCCACTGCAGTTCCCGCACTCCTCACAAGTACAGGGTGAAGGCTTCACAAGAAAGGAAAGAAATGCTGATAAATCCATTTCTAATTTTTAGCGTAAAATAATATGCAGCAATTTTAAGGCTTCTCCTGCAAAAAATATATTAATCTTTATCCCTCCCTGCCTTGCACATTTTACCTCTTCTTTCCCATTTCACATCAACTCCTTTACAGGTTTCTTCACTTTTTTCCTCTGCAGAGTTCATGTGTTTGCATAACAGGCAGAGATAAGTAAAACCTTTCTAAGCATGGAGATTAAACCAAGGTGGTTGAAAAGCCACCTTGAATTTCTGCCTGTCCTCAGTTTGTTAAAAGAGAGAGGAACCCCTGCCAATAAAAATGTTGGTCATCCTCCAGCTTTGCCTTTCAAAAGGAGGGAGATTAGCCTGAAGCTGCTAAATTAGAAAATTAATTTAGCTGCTCAGCTTGGAAATGTATCCTTTGAAGCTTGGATAAAGATGTTGGCTCTCCGTTTCATTGCAGGTGTTAATTAACACAACAAATTTGGGATGGTGCCTTTATCACCAGTCAGTGCAGCTGTGAATAGTTGCTTTATCTTGAGTTTTACATCAATTGTCACCATCACCCCCCTCCCGCCTTTTTTGCATTTCATTGCAGTTTGGTGCCATTCCTCCAAAAATCCACTGTTGCCCCCCGCCAGCTGTGGGTAACAGTTTGATGAAGTAGAATGTAGTCTACAAAAGCTTATCCTTTGAAAATGTTTAAAGTTACAAGTTTGCTGTTCTGGGGGGGGGGGGTGTCCCTATTTTCATCGGAGAAATGTTGGAGGGTATGGAAATGTAATTACATGCATATAAGATTTTGGTTTTTTCTAAATATGGGTAATAAACCATTATATGTTTTGCCTTCCCAAACCTGCACAGCACCCAACCAAGTCTCATCTGAATATTTGCTACCTCCTTCCCAACCTGTTTCATTTAAGGATTCCACCCTTGCTTCACTTGGCTTATTTAGTCTTATTTAGTCTTCTGGAGAACTTATACGCTGTCTTGTCACATTTTGGTTGACCTAATAAGTCCGTTGCCCTAATTTGGATTTATTTTCCTTCTAAACTGGCCAATTTGGCTGTATTTAATTTGTGTGTAGCTTGTATATCGCTTGTCACCCTATTGTATTTGATCGTGTGTCTTGGGCAGAGGTGGTTTTTGGCTCTCCATTCTGTTCGGTAGTTGACTTCTAACTTACTCTGCCTCTATAGTCTGCCAAAGACGGACTCATGTCAGAGGCAGGTTTGGGTTCTGATAAGGTGCAGATTTTATTTTATTTTATTTTTATTAGTTTTAACATACTTTCCAAACAAAACAACCACCCCTTCTCTTCTTATACATTGGTGGCTATTGTTAGCCTATGTCTTCCATCAATCCCTCCTAATGATTTTCAAAATTCATCTCCTATTCCTGCATTTTATCTCATAACTATTGCTTAGTCATCAAAATCCTCTAATCAATTCTGTTAAATCTCATCAACAATATTTCTTATACTTATCATTACAAAACTTCTTGTAACTCTACAAACCTAGTCATTTGACTACAATTGTCTTTCAAATAATTTACAAATTTACTCCAGTCTTTCAGGAACTTCTGGTCCCGCTGTTCTTGGATTCTCCCTGTCATTTTTGCCAGTTCTGCATAATCCATCAATTTCACCTGCCATTCTTCTTTGGTCAGCAATTCTTCTTGTTTCCATTTCTGTGTTAATAATATTCTTGCAGCCGTAGTTGCATATAAAAATAATTTTTTGTCTATTTATTTCGGTACCTACAATTCCAAGTAGAAATGCTTTTGGTTTTTTAACAAATGTATATTTCAACCTCCTTTTAAGTTCATTGTATATCATTTCCCAGAAGCCTTTCACTTTCTTACATTCACATCACATACGATAAAAGGTACCTTCTTCATCCTTACATTTCCAACATTTGTTGCTTACTTTATACATTTTAGCTAGTTTCACTGGTGTTATATAGCATCTATACATCATTTTCATCACATTCTCTTGCAAAGCATTACATGCAGTAAATTTTATTCCTCCTTTCCATAATTTCCCCCAGTTTTCTAGCTGTACATTATATCCAAAATCTTTAGCCCAATGTATCATTACCAACGAAAAGGTGCAGATTTAAGCATGTATCTCCTGCCCCACAATCCTGCCCACATCTCGATGCAATTTTGACCACTACAGTACCTGAGAACCTGCTGTGCATTACACACTGATGGTAGAACTACTACTGATAACAATACTGAGTTGCACACATAATGATTTGGGAATAAGTCTCAGTGAAATTTACTCTCAGAAATTTACTCTCAGCTGAGTTCAGTGAAATTTACTCTCAAGTATATGAGCTTATAAAAAGGACGCGGGTGGCGCTGTGGGTTAAACCACAGAGCCTAGGACTTGTCGATCAGAAGGTCGGCGGTTCGAATCCTCACGACGGGGTGAGCTCCTGTTGCTCGGCCCCTGCTCCTGCCAACCTAGCAGATTGAAAGCATGTCAAAGTGCAAGTAGATAAATAGGTACCGCTCCGGCGGGAAGGTAAATGGCGTTTCCGTGCGCTGCTCTGGTTTGCCAGGAGCGGCTTAGTCATGCTGGCCACATGACCCAGAAGCTGTATGCCGGCTCCCTCGGCCAAGAAAGCGAGATGAGCGCCACAACCCCAGAATTGGTCATGACTGGACCTAATGGTCAGGGGTCCCTTTACATTTACCTATATGCGCTTATGATCACAACCAAAGAAAACGCAAGCTGTTTTCAGTAGAGGGCAGCAGACTCATTAGTAATGTGTTCATAACACTGAGCGGATTCCGAATAGCAAAACTATTCCCATGCAGTCTTGGAAATTTTTTTTAGGAGAATCCGACTAAACACCAGGAACAAGTTTCAGACCAAAAGAACTGGTAGAACGGGCTCCCTTGGGTGGTGATGGAATCACTCTCCTTCCTGGCCTATGTGGCCTATGTGGCCTATATAGGCCTGCCCAGGCCAGGCCTATATAGGCCTGCCCAGGCCAGGCCTATATAGGCCACATAGGCCACATAGGCCAGGCCTATATAGGCCACATAGGCCACATAGGCCAGGCCTATATAGGCCACATAGGCCACATAGGCCAGGCCTATATAGGCCACATAGGCCACATAGGCCAGGCCTATATAGGCCACATAGGCCACATAGGCCAGGCCTATATAGGCCACATAGGCCACATAGGCCAGGCCTATATAGGCCACATAGGCCACATAGGCCAGGCCTATATAGGCCACATAGGCCACATAGGCCAGGCCTATATAGGCCACATAGGCCACATAGGCCAGGCCTATATAGGCCACATAGGCCACATAGGCCAGGCCTATATAGGCCACATAGGCCAGGCCTATATAGGCCAGGCCTATATAGGCCACATAGGCCAGGCCTATATAGGCCACATAGGCCAGGCCTATATAGGCCAGGCCTATATAGGCCATAGGCCACATAGGCCAGGCCTATATAGGCCATAGGCCACATAGGCCAGGCCTATATAGGCCATAGGCCACATAGGCCAGGCCTATATAGGCCACATAGGCCAGGCCTATATAGGCCAGGCCTATATAGGCCATAGGCCACATAGGCCAGGCCTATATAGGCCATAGGCCACATAGGCCAGGCCTATATAGGCCATAGGCCACATAGGCCAGGCCTATATAGGCCATAGGCCACATAGGCCAGGCCTATATAGGCCATAGGCCACATAGGCCAGGCCTATATAGGCCATAGGCCACATAGGCCAGGCCTATATAGGCCACATAGGCCTGGCCTATGTGGCCATGGCCACATAGGCCAGGCCTATATGGGCCATAGGCCACAGAGGCCAGGCCTATATAGGCCATAGGCCACACACGCCAGGCCTATATGGGCCATAGGCCACATAGGCCAGGCCTATATAGGCCATAGGCCACATAGGCCAGGCCTATATAGGCCATAGGCCACATAGGCCAGGCCTATATAGGCCACATAGGCCAGGCCTATATAGGCCACATAGGCCAGGCCTATAGGCCACATAGGCCACATAGGCCAGGCCTATATGAGGCCAAAGGCCACATAGGCCAGGCCTATATAGGCCATAGGCCACATAGGCCAGGCCTATATAGGCCATAGGCCACATAGGCCAGGCCTATATAGGCCATAGGCCACATAGGCCAGGCCTATATAGGCCATAGGCCACATAGGCCAGGCCTATATAGGCCATAGGCCACATAGGCCAGGCCTATATAGGCCACATAGGCCAGGCCCATCGGCCACATAGGCCAGGCCTATATAGGCCATAGGCCACATAGGCCAGGAATATAGAGGCCAAAGGCCACATAGGCCAGGCCTATATAGGCCATAGGCCACATAGGCCAGGCCTATATAGGCCATAGGCCACATAGGCCAGGCCTATATAGGCCATAGGCCACATAGGCCAGGCCTATATAGGCCACATAGGCCAGGCCTATATAGGCCACATAGGCCAGGCCTATATAGGCCATAGGCCACATAGGCCAGGCCTATATAGGCCATAGGCCACATAGGCCAGGCCTATATCGGCCATAGGCCACATAGGCCAGGCCTATATAGGCCACATAGGCCAGGCCTATATAGGCCACATAGGCCAGGCCTATATAGGCCACATAGGCCAGGCCTATGGCCACAGGCCACATAGGCCAGGCCTATATAGGCCATAGGCCACATAGGCCAGGCCTATATAGGCCATAGGCCACATAGGCCAGGCCTATATAGGCCATAGGCCACATAGGCCAGGCCTATATAGGCCATAGGCCACATAGGCCAGGCCTATATAGGCCACATAGGCCAGGCCTATATAGGCCACATAGGCCAGGCCTATATAGGCCACATAGGCCACATAGGCCAGGCCTATATAGGCCACATAGGCCACATAGGCCAGGCCTATATAGGCCACATAGGCCACATAGGCCAGGCCTATATAGGCCACATAGGCCACATAGGCCAGGCCTATATAGGCCACATAGGCCACATAGGCCAGGCCTATATAGGCCACATAGGCCACATAGGCCAGGCCTATATAGGCCACATAGGCCACATAGGCCAGGCCTATATAGGCCACATAGGCCACATAGGCCAGGCCTATATAGGCCACATAGGCCACATAGGCCAGGCCTATATAGGCCACATAGGCCACATAGGCCAGGCCTATATAGGCCACATAGGCCAGGCCACATAGGCCAGGCCTATATAGGCCACATAGGCCACATAGGCCAGGCCTATATAGGCCATAGGCCACATAGGCCAGGCCTATATAGGCCATAGGCCACATAGGCCAGGCCTATATAGGCCATAGGCCACATAGGCCAGGCCTATATAGGCCACATAGGCCAGGCCTATATAGGCCACATAGGCCAGGCCTATATAGGCCACATAGGCCAGGCCTATATAGGCCACATAGGCCAGGCCTATATAGGCCACATAGGCCAGGCCTATATAGGCCACATAGGCCAGGCCTATATAGGCCATAGGCCACATAGGCCAGGCCTATATAGGCCATAGGCCACATAGGCCAGGCCTATATAGGCCACATAGGCCATCTAGGCCAGGCCTATATAGGCCACATAGGCCACATAGGCCAGGCCTATATAGGCCACATAGGCCACATAGGCCAGGCCTATATAGGCCACATAGGCCAGGCCTATATAGGCCACATAGGCCAGGCCTATATAGGCCACATAGGCCAGGCCTATATAGGCCATAGGCCACATAGGCCAGGCCTATATAGGCCATAGGCCACATAGGCCAGGCCTATATAGGCCATAGGCCACATAGGCCAGGCCTATATAGGCCATAGGCCACATAGGCCAGGCCTATAGGCCATAGGCCACATAGGCCAGGCCTATATAGGCCATAGGCCACATAGGCCAGGCCTATATAGGCCATAGGCCACATAGGCCAGGCCTATATAGGCCATAGGCCACATAGGCCAGGCCTATATAGGCCATAGGCCACATAGGCCAGGCCTATATAGGCCATAGGCCACATAGGCCAGGCCTATATAGGCCATAGGCCACATAGGCCAGGCCTATAGGCCAGGCCTATATTGGCCACATAGGCCAGGCCTATATAGGCCATAGGCCACATAGGCCAGGCCTATATAGGCCATAGGCCACATAGGCCAGGCCTATATAGGCCATAGGCCACATAGGCCAGGCCTATATAGGCCATAGGCCACATAGGCCAGGCCTATATAGGCCATAGGCCACATAGGCCAGGCCTATATAGGCCAAATAGGCCAGGCCTATAGGCCAGGCCTATATAGGCCATAGGCCACATAGGCCAGGCCTATATAGGCCATAGGCCACATAGGCCAGGCCTATATAGGCCATAGGCCACATAGGCCAGGCCTATATAGGCCATAGGCCACATAGGCCAGGCCTATATAGGCCATAGGCCACATAGGCCAGGCCTATATAGGCCATAGGCCACATAGGCCAGGCCTATATAGGCCACATAGGCCAGGCCTATATAGGCCACATAGGCCAGGCCTATATAGGCCATAGGCCACATAGGCCAGGCCTATATAGGCCATAGGCCACATATGCCAGGCCTATATAGGCCACATAGGCCAGGCCTATATAGGCCATAGGCCACATAGGCCAGGCCTATATAGGCCATAGGCCACATAGGCCAGGCCTATATAGGCCATAGGCCACATAGGCCAGGCCTATATAGGCCATAGGCCACATAGGCCAGGCCTATATAGGCCACATAGGCCAGGCCTATATAGGCCATAGGCCACATAGGCCAGGCCTATATAGGCCATAGGCCACATAGGCCAGGCCTATATAGGCCATAGGCCACATAGGCCAGGCCTATATAGGCCATAGGCCACATAGGCCAGGCCTATATAGGCCATAGGCCACATAGGCCAGGCCTATATAGGCCATAGGCCACATAGGCCAGGCCTATATAGGCCACATAGGCCAGGCCTATATAGGCCAGGCCTATATAGGCCATAGGCCACATAGGCCAGGCCTATATAGGCCATAGGCCACATAGGCCAGGCCTATATAGGCCATAGGCCACATAGGCCAGGCTTATATAGGCCATAGGCCACATAGGCCAGGCCTATATAGGCCATAGGCCATAGGCCATAGGCCAGGCCATAGGCCATAGGTCAAATTAGAAGGCTTTTTATCACAGGACAAGAAATCATTCCTCGAAAACATAACTGGCAGAAAAAGATTTTTTTGAAAAAATCCGTAAGCCCAGGGGTCACAATTTCATCAAAAATCTGACGTTCTCCAATTTTCTCAAAAATGGTGCCAAATGATTGCAAATGCTACCCTGAGAGGTTTGGCGGTCAAAACAGAAGGCTTTTTATCACAGGAAAAGAAATCAGCCCTTGACAACCTAACGGGCAGAAAAAGATTTTTTTGAATAAACCCGTAAGCCCCGGGCTCACAATTTCATCAAAAATCTGACGTTCTCTAATTCACTCAAAAATGGTGCCAAACGGTTGTAAATGCTCCCTGAGAGGTTTGGCGGTCGAAACAGAAGGCTTTTATCACAGGACAAGAAATCACTCCTTGACAACTTAACTGGCCGGAAAAGATTTTTTTGAAAAAATCCGTAAGCCCCGGGGTCACAATTTCATCAAAAATCTGACTTTCGGCAATTCACTCAAAAATGGTGCCAAACGGTTGCAAATGCTCGCCTGAAAGCTTTGGAGGTCGAAACAGGAGGTTATCACAGGAAAAGAAATCAGCCCTTGACAACCTAAGCGGCAGAAAAAGATGTTTTTGAAAAAAACCCGTAAGGTCACAATTTCATCAAAAATCTGACGTTCTCCAATTCACTCAAAAATGGTGCCAAACGGTTGCAAATTGTCAGGGAACTGCCATCGGCAGGAAGGGAGGTGAAAGGGCTCACACAGGTTGGGAGAGACTCAGCAGCTGAAGAGGGAACCAGTAGGGGGAGAGGAGCTGAGCTGAGGGAAAGTGAGCTGGAGGGATGGCTCAGAGACACTTCCAGCGAAAACAGTGGGGAGGTTTCAGGACCTCCTGTAGGAACACCCACTCTCGCCGGAAACTGTCACGCAGAGAGTCCAGAAGACGTGTTTCCGTTAAGGAGCTTTTATGTTGGAAGCGATTCGAAAGCAACCACTGTCGGAATCTGCTAGTGACTAGAGGAGCCATGTCTGAGGGGCTCCATCACAGACAGAGGTTTGTGGACTTGAACAAACTCTGAGGGGATACGATTTTACGCACAAGCAGCTCATCATCCCATCACAGCATTCCGACAGTCTTTGAAAGCAGCTTGTGCAGGAGAAGGCATCATGAGCAACCCAGCCGGAACCGGAGAAGCAGGAGCTGGAGCGGGTCCAAGCCTGGAAGAAAGGTACCGGGTGTTGGAGGTCCAGCTAGCGCTGCAGACGGCGAGGCTTGAGGAGAGGAGGGCTCAGGATGCAGACAAAAGGGGAAAGCCACCCAGCTCGCCAGAAAGGTACCAGGATTGGTGCAGAAGTTTGGGGGGGGAGCCCAAAGACTATCATGGCTTTCGGACAGAGATGCAATATGCCCTCAATCTGCAGTTTGATGAATTCCTGACGAGGAATCACGAGTGGCTTTCGTGATTGGGCATCTTGAAAAGGGGGCGAGAGACTGGGTTAGACCCCTGATGGCAGCGAATAGTGACGTCCTAAAGGACACGATGAAGTTCTTTCGCGCCATGGATCTGATGTTTTCCAGCGATATTGAACAGGGAGTGGTGCGCAGACAGTTAATGGCTTGCAAACAGGGGAGCCGATCTGTCCGTGAGTATTGGACTGAGTTCACCATGCTGGTTCACAGATTGGGGTGGGACTTATCGGCGGAACCCATTCAAATGCTCTTTGAAGAAGGGCTTTCTTCGGCTGTGAAAGACGAACTTTCCCGGGCGCCCAGGGCGGAGTCTATGGACCAGCTGACCAAATCAGCGCTGACCATAGGAGCGCGCCAGGAGGCGAGAGCATTGGAGAGGCGGGAAGGGAAGGGGGAACGTTGGAAGGAGTTCCGCATTCCAGACATTCCAGAGCCAACTTTCCCGCCGGCAGAGCCGATGGAAATCGGAACAGCGCGCGCGCGCAGTTTCAAAGCCCAGTGAGGGGGGAAAGAAGGAGGGAAAAGGCGCCCGGAAATGCTATCTCTGCCAACAGCCAGGTCACTTTGCCAGAGTCTGCCCCCAGAGGAAGGAATGGCAAGGGATGGTAGGAGCTGTGGAGGGAAGAGAGGAAGAAATACCGGAGCAAGTAAAGCCAACGCCTGGCTGCCACCGTCGGGGCACAGCAGCCAGGCCAAAGAGCAGTGAGAGTGCCCACGCCAGAACCTCCTAAACCCGCCTCTAGTGATAGAAGTGGCGCTAGAGCTGCCAAACGGACACCTCTAAAGATAAAGGCGCTGTTGGACTCAGGCAGCTCCTGCAATTTCATGAGCAAAGAGTTTGCAGCTGAACACCAGATACAGACGATCCTTTAAGCAACCCCCTGCAGGTGACCACGATCGATGGCAGGGAGCTGTTGGGAGGAGAAGTCAGCTTGCAGACCGTCCCAATGATAATGAAGGTGGCAAGGCACACCGAACTGATAGCGTTTAATGTGGCCACCTTGGGAGGAGCTCCCATTATATTGGGGATGAGCTGGCTAGCGTTACATGATCCGCTGGTGGGCTGGCATCAGAGAGTGGTTTCTTTTGGTTCAGCACATTGCTTAGAACACTGCAAAGAGGGAAAGGGTTTGGCAGGGGCCCAAGCCACCCTAGCAGGGACTGAAGTAACGGAGAACGTGAAGGTACCACGACAATACGCAGATCTCCGCGACGTCTTCAGCGAAAGGGAAGCTGACCAACTACCCCCGCATAGACCCTTTGACTGTCAAATCAATTTACTCCCTGGGGCACAGCTCCCTGTAGGCAAGCTGTACGCCATGTCAGACAGAGAGATGCAGGAGCTAAGAGAGTTCATTGACAAGAACCTGAAGAGAGGGTTCATCAGAGAGTCCAGGGCGGTGGGGGCAGCCCAGTGTTTTTGTGGATAAAAACACGAACAAGCCGAGGCTGGTGTGTGACTTCAGGGCCTTAAATGCAGTGTCAGAACCAGTGGCCTTCCCTATGCCCAGGATTGACGACATTTTGACAAGGGTGCGGAAGGGAAAGATTTTCACAAAGCTGGACCTAAGGGGGGCGTACAACCTGCTACGACTAGGGAAGGGGGAGGAATGGACCTCCACCCTGTTCACCCCTTTAGGGGCATTTGAATACTTAGTTATGCCCTTCGGACTAC